ATGGCACTGGAGACAGAAGAAAAAGGTGCAGTCATCCGTGTGAGGGGAACCAGGATAGTTCTGTTCTGTTATTCATTTTAGGGGAGACCAAACAGGATAAGTAAAACTGTCTGAGCTAGTGTAAAAGATAAAGTAGGGAAGGGCACAGGGAGAGGGTGAATGCGTGTTGTGGGTGGGAGTTCCAGTTCTGTGCCCTAAAGGGGGGAGGGTGAGATCAGCAGGGCCTGGTGGGAGGCTTTGGCAGCTGTGCTGGCCTGGGGCCAAGGATGATAGAGGTGGGTGGGTCGGGGGTGGAAGCCCTGGGGAGATGATGCTGGTGATTTTTGATGTAGAAGGGTAAGGCCGGATGGATCTCCAGGATCATCCCGTCCAGTGATTTCCAGACTTGAATTTCATGGACCAGTAAAACGGCCAACATGGCTGCTGACTTAATTTTAACAAAAAAAGGCAGTAAAAACTACCATTTATTATTATCTTCATCATCTCTTAATAAGATATAATGGCCTTAGAAAAAGGATCATTTTTTTTTCTAACCGGTTTTTTTTTAATTGAGGTATAATTGACATACAGTATTATAAAAGGATGGTTCTTTTAATTGAATACATTTAAACACCCATAGACATATCCATAAGTGAAATCATTATAGTTTCTTTCAAGTCACTGAGAATATCAAGGGTTGAGAACCCAGAGGGTAGGCTTAGTGCCTGACCTAGCTTTGGACATAGGCCCTAAGGGTTTCCAAGCTTCCTATCATATGAAGAGATTAGGTTCAGGGGAGATGCTATATATGCCCAAACAGAAGACACAGTGTTTTAGGCAATTCCCTACTTTCCTGAAAAAAGTCCTCAAGATGTGTATTCTTAATGTTTTGGCTAAACTCTCATCTGTGATCGCTAAATGAAATTGTCAAATGGTAATACGTAATTAGATTGAAATAACATACAAGGTCTACCACCTAAAATCTGTGGAACGAAGCAGTCACTTTATTTGTATATACAGTTCATAGAATTAAGAGTTTTAAAAAGATGGCAGTGACATGACTTGCAATTAGAAATTTCCTTCAAGATCCCATCAAGAATTTTTTAAAGGTCAAGAAACTTGTTTTTGAAGAATAAAACCACCCTGAATTACTAATTTTTACCTGCCAACCAAAGGTTTTTGAGAAATGCGCAGATGTTACACTTACTATAGGGGAGAAGGGAGGTTTACTCCAAGGCTTGAAAAGCAAGTAATACTCCAGTATTTGTACTTACAACCAAGTTAAAGATGTAATAAGTCTGCTTCAGCTATGATGTGGTTCAAAATACGTACCTTCTGATTAAAAAATTTAATGCCTAAAATACAAGGCAACCCCCTTTTCTAAGAGGGAATTAATTTGGAAAAAAATATATATCTTACAGTCTGACACATGTGGCACTTGGAAGCTAGCCCGAATTCTGGCCTCCTTCATTGCAATAAAAGGCAAAGGGATTCTTAACTGTTTTCCAGACCAGTGAGGGACAGTCAGACCCAAATCTGAAGAAACGAAATGAGCAAAAGTAGTTGATGTGACAGGAAATGAGGCCAAATCAAGCGAGGTTTAATATCAGATTGTCAGTTTTATTGCTTTTGCATGTAAGCTCATCACAGCAATGTATTGATTTCTCTTTAATAATTAAATTTCAGCACAATTTGACAGCAAATGAAACCTCTTATCATTCCAGTCCTAAACTTTAAAAAGCAGATTTTAGAAACAATTAAGAAATAAACTTTCCCCTTGCAAGTTATTTTAAAATATTATTTTATTTCCCCATGTACATTTGTTTAAACCAAATGGTTAGTCTTTATTTTCAATGAAATTAATGACTGGGTTATTGAAGGGTGCCAGCTTTCTAATGAGCTCTTCGGACTTTTTTTATGAAGCCCTACTCAGAAGCCTACTTAGCTGGGCAACTGGGCTGATCCTACTTAGAAAAGACACAGGAGCAAACTGTATAGAAAATAAAAACTTTATTTTTTCAAGTTTATAAGATAGTTCCCATTACATATAACATTATGGTCAAGGACTCTACACAGCCACGAATGCCCGCAGTCCCATAAATATATCCGATCCACTCAATGCCTTTTCCTGCTAAATGAGGCATCTGAAGTCCAGAGGGTTATGTTTTGAGTAGAAGCTGTCCTTAATGAGATGGCTCCCGTCAGTGCATTAGGGACTAGCCACGGAGCCTTGCTTGCTGGAGCAGTCTAAATCGGAGAGGAAGGGACAGAGGGCCTGCAAGTTGGGGATGGGTCAGAACTAGATTTTTCTCTCATAGTTTAAGATATTTTAGAATCCCAGAATTCAGATTTGGCTTCTTTATAAGTGAGACTATCTGGGGAGTTCCAAGTTTTGGATGAAAAAGGAAGCCAATGAAAAAGGTGGTAAGAAGTAGAAGCCTGCTCAAGAAGGCTCCTTACTGTCCCCCTTCTACAGGAGTGAGGAGAGGAAGGCCCACCAGCTCTCCACCCTTGGCTTAGACCGTCCTTCTCCCAGGAAGAGAAAGAACGTGGCCCCGCCCCTCCCCGCCTCTGCCCCGTGGTTCAGTGGCACCGACACCCATTCAACGTAGCGAATGTCTAGATGTTCCACGTGCTGCAGCCAGAGTTCGCCAATCAGATTCTACCTGGAGCTTGAAAAGTGAGTTTGTATAAACTGTGGACAAGCCGCAGCACAAGTCTCCTGGCACGCTAGCTTTGCCCCTCAACTTGCAGAGCAGAAGACAGGAACATCCCAAACCGAATAAAAGCCCAAACAGGCATCGAAGTCTGGAACAGGCATCTTTTCTCCCGGACACCACCAGCCGCCCCAGGGGCATTGGACAGGGTGATGCTAAGGCACAGTTTTACATTCGAAAGTCAAGCCACCTCTTAAACCCAGGACACATCTGACAACTCTAGATCCCGCACTGGAGACAGTCCTCACCATGAGACATGCAGACCCATCTGGCAGAACCCACAGTGCCTGGTTGGGGGAAAGACTCAGCATGTGGGTGACTTCATGGGGACACTTTCTAGTAAAGAGGGCTTCCCCTTGAAGAAATGACCCCTTGAAGAAATGACCCTTGAAGAAAAAAAAAGAAATATCCTTTTGCCCTCAACTTACAAGAGTGCTACCCACTTACTTTCCTTTCCAGATCTTTGTGCTGGGGAGGAAGAAAACACAGGGTAAAAGAATGCTGTGTTCCCTGCACAACTCATTTTGGCAAAGAGGAATCAAGAAGCTCTCATTTTCCATAATGGGGGCAGCAACAACCAGAAGAAAGCAGAGGTGCTCTGCTCCGTAGAGCTTCCTCACTTCTCTTAGCCAATTCCAAGTTCCTTTTGCAAAGACCCAGGCTAGACAGTCAGGGGGGTGGTGGGGGAAACACCATCGAAAGAGGAGTCTAGTTCCTAGGGATAGAGAGCTTCTCCCAAAAGGCAGGGAGAGGGAAGTGTTTGTGTGTGGCCCTGTGTGCATGACGGGGGGACCACTGCACAGACTCACAAGTCTGACATGCAGCACCAACCAGGTGGCCTCTGTCCAGCTCAGGGAACCCACAGTTATACTGCTAGTAGGGGAAGAGCTTGGGGCCTGGAAGAAAGGCCCATTACGGAGCTTTCTAAGATCCATTATCAAGCAAGGCAGAGCAGCATGTGGACAACTATGCTCTACACAGACCGTGGAAGGTTGGCCTCCGACTACACGCCTCATCTCTTCCCCACCTGTCAAGAGACGAGGTTGGAGAGACAGCTAAGTAATGAGCACTGACTCCAGCTCCTTCCCCAAACCTGTGAGGAATGGAGCACTTTCTCAATCCGTTCTCAAGGAATGTGTCTATCAGTCTTCCTCTGCTGCCATTTGGTGGCCTGGCATCAGGAGGAGCCTGGCCCCTCGGTGCCGCAACATCTCCAGAAATGGATACACAGAATCTCTGGGGGTAAGCGATTACAGCTGGGGGTGGTCAAGGGACGCCTCCTCCTGAGGACCCAGACTGCACGCCTGAGGGGCTGACATGTTCACCTCTGCAGGCAGCCCGGGAGAGGCTCAACTTCCTGAGCGCTAATAAGTGTATCCTGCCCAAGCAGGGGCCCACATTCGTCTTGGAGGGATGGAGCATCCGCAAACACACCTGGGCTCTAAGGCTGGGATTAGCTGCCGGGCATCCACCAATCTTCCTAGAGGTCAGGGTGACAGATATTTCTGCATATAGCGCCGGGTTAAATTTTCAGGCATGGAATAGGGTCCCAACACCCTCATTTAAATCAGGAAAGTCCTTCTGGCCTTCTGGTTTCCCATTTTAGAATGGGATTTGAGAAGCAGAAAGAGTGTTCCATGGGAAAAGTGGGTTTTGATCACAGCAATCTGTTCTTCGGTTCCAGGCAAGAGATTTGGGTAAATACATACCCAAAATACCTTTCTTGGCTTAAGGGCTTCAAAGGAAGTCAAAATGTAGTTACGAGTCTGTTCTTAGGCTTGATTTAACTTCTTGGGTCCAAAGCTGAGGGACTGGCCAGAGCTGCATGGAGCGGATGTGACGTACAGAGGGCAGGGCAGGGGCAAGGGTCTAGCACTGGTGACTAAGAAGGAAGAGAAGGGTGGAGGGGTGAGCCTCTGCTGGGGAAGGGTGCTTCTCTGCCAGAGAAGGTGGAATTTTCTTGTTTCAAGAGCCAAAGAAGCAGAAATTCCTACGAAGCCTTAGTCCTTTCCCTCCAGTTGGGAGGTAAGCCCTCTGGGACTTAGTCTTTGAATGAAAGTCAAGCTGAAGGCTTGAAATTTACATCTTAAGAGAGGGAGTTTCTAGGGTTGTGCCATTTGGTTGAAGGGAAACAGGGACTGGAGAGAGGACTAAGGCTTCTTGGATGGGAAATTCCAAAGTCTCAAGGTTATCAGTGTCCAGTGCCCCACAGTTCAGCAAACTAGGAGATGGAAGAACGGGAGGGAAACCGCCCTCGAGAGCAGACCACCGGAGCAGCTAAAGGAGGTGCTACTGTCACAGAGAGGTATTTTAGATATTTCAATTGCTATTTTCCAAGGAAACTTTACATACCCCTTTCTTGTTAGAAAAAGAAAGGAGGGAAAACCTGCTTCAGAGACCAGACCCTTAACTATAAAAATAACATATACATTCCCTGGGAATATGTTCTAGAGCTAAGGAGATTACAAAGACCGCAAGAGATGGTATCACAAAAGTCTGCCACGTGTATCCTGTTCCCGCAAGTTCAGAGCAGTTCTCAAACTGGGCGCGAACTAAGAGTGCAACTCTGCCCCAAGAATTGCCTTTTCTTTTCTTCATTTTTTGAAACAAAATAAAACGAAACAAAACCCAGACGAATTAAAAGCACTGTCGCTGCGGTGAGTCTACTGTCCTCTCCATCCCACCGTCTCCTGCCTCTGCACGAGGGTGAACACGGGGCCGCAGCTCACTCTTAGCAAAAATAAGCTTCGTCCCTTGCAGCTGTTGGTTCTGATTGTGTTCTCGCCAGCATTCCATGGAGAAATAGAGAGACACACACACAGAGACAGAGACAGAAAGGGAGACAGAGACACAGAGAGAGAGAGAGAGTTCCCAGATGGTTCTGGTCTCTAGCTCCTTTCAGGAGGGAAAAGGAGCTCATGGGGAAGGGTCTTCATTCCAGTTCTCAAAGAAAATCAAGCTCCAAAGCCTGGTGGAGGGACACTAGATCTCCATGGTTGGTGATTCTCCAGAAAGGCATGTTGTGCTGGAAGAGAGTGGGACAGTTCATAGCAGATTAACCCAACTTCTTTTGGGAGCTTATATTTACCCCTATACCTCTTCCTTTCCCCAAGACACTTGGTAACACTCTCTTCTCCTGCCCACCTTACTGGGCTGTTAAAAGTAAGTCATATGTATAAGGACTTTGTACACTACATGACACTTTACAAATATAAGAGATTTTTGCCAGGTCTTTCGTGGTAACTGTGCTTTTATGATACATCCTTGTTCTAGCCATTATATAGGGTCCTCAGGATCAAATAAAATGACCCTTGTGAGAAATTACTATTACTCTATCACATTTTCTTACAGATGGTTAGTTTTGTGCAAATTTCAGGCAAAGTTTCTCTACGTTTCGACAAAGTGCAAATCTTGTTCACGACTGAGATGCGGAATACACAGATCTAAGAAGTAATAATCCCATTTACCATGTTGTCAAAATCATGTCCAGAATACCGTGTGCTGTTGTGGAAACCACATTTTAAAGAAGGGATCTGAAAAAATCCAAGTGTGGGAGACCAGGTTCTGTGAAGCTGAAGCGGGTTAGCCTTACTGATCGTTTTGCTCTAACTGGTTCCAAGTTACCCAAAATACCGAAGTCTTACAGCAGTTCTTTTGGCAGTAAGCTCAGTGTTTTACAAGCATGCTGCTCACACGTATTTAAACGGCTTCTCATATACAGAACAGGAAACAGACTTGTTACATCGTACTCAGGACTCCGACCAGGATGTGAAAGTTAGATACAAGTTTTAGTTCAATGGGAGGAGGAACATCCTAACAGTTTGGGTGACCCCACAATAGAACACGACACACAGCAGTCTCCCCATCCTTGGGTTTATTCAAACAAGGACTAGAAAGTCCTCTGGGAAAGGGGCTGCAGAAAAGGTCCCTCGCAGCATAGAGGCTGAAATGGATGGAGCTCTAAGGCATCTTTCAACGGGTACATGCTACGGTAGGTGATCACAGGAAGCAGCTGAGAGGCGCCTACTCTGCTAATGACGTCATCCTTCTTTATCTCCCAGACTCCCTTCCTCAAACCAAGCAGCACTGTTGCCTCCAACCACTAGTGTCTTCTCCCCGTCCAGAGGGCAACAAGCACTTCAGAACCAAAGCCTCAAAGATAACACATTGAAAAAAAAGATAAACGTCCTTGAATTGCTACATAAAATAGTGAATGAAAATGTAATGAGGTAATAATGCCACCCGATTAGCAATCTCACAGTTTATTAATAGTTGAAGTTTTTACATTAACTGGATGAAGAAAACCAGGACAGCTGGTCCTAGCTGGCAACCCTCCGCCTCCAAACGTAAGAAACAGAGCTGCTGGAAGGAAACTAGGGCATAGAAAAAGAACTTCTGTAGATCCATTTAATAAACGCAGATGAGGAAACTCCAAGAGGAAAAGTAAACTGTCCAAAGTCACACAGCTAATCAAGGGAGGAGAGCTGACCCAAATTAATTTTAGATTCCACAGTCAAGACTCTTTCATCTATGGTTTCCTGTAGTGAGATGAGGTGGCTTGGAGTTGGGATCTGCGCAGTGAGGAGGTTAACAGCAGAACAGTATTTTCTGGGCTCAAAGATAGGAAGGACTTCATCTGAACGAATTTCACTGGCTTTTTGAGAATCTAAAGCCTGGAAAAGTCAGATCAATTCACCTTTTTGTAGCGAAGTCTCAAGTTCTTGGGATGAAGATGGAAGATGGGGTCCATATCCGGTTTAATGATGGAGGGCCCTACAGCAGGGCCCAAAGATTTAAAAATTTCTGAGTGGCAGGGAGGAGGGGGGAAAGGAAAGACCTAATGACTTAAGGGAAAACCCTATTTGGGGGAAAAATGAACGTCTTTCTTTAAAGAAAAATAGGACAGAGAGGGGAAAACACTGTAAATGCTCAAGATTGCTACGATTTCTGACTTTTACCGTTTTTCTAATTACTTGATGCGTTCCCACAGGGACTGTTCTTTTTACCATGGTTACCTGTTTGGCTGCAATTTCTTCATCTCGTCCGTCTCCAATCACTACATATGTGACTTTCTTTCCAAACCTAGACACAATTCTCTCGAAGCAGCTCTCCTTACCTGATGAGAAAAAGAAATCTCCCATTAGGACATTCCCCCTACCTTTTTTCAACACTAAAGAAAAGAGCTGCTGCTGGTTCACCTGCCTAGGCTTAGACGAAACAAGTGACAGCCCATGTAATTTGTGTGGCGGGGAGTGCGGGTGGCAGCTGGAGATCCAGCAGGCCTGCTGCCCAAAGAATGTGGAATTGTGCTATTAAGACAAGACTTTCTAAGCATTGTGCTTTTTAGGTTCTTATTTTAATAAGTGTGGGCGTTGTGGGTTTTTTTCTTTTCTTTTTTTTTTTAAGTAGGCCCACACCCAGTGGAGGCTTGAACTCCTAATCATGAGATCAAGATCTGAGCTGAGGGGCACCTGGGTGGCTCAGTGGGTTAAAGCCTCTGCCTTCGGCTTAGGTCATGATCCTAGGGTCCTGGGATCAAGCCCTGCATCGCATCGGGCGCTCTGCTCAGCAGGGAGCCTGCCTCTCCGCCTACTTGTGATCTCTGTCAAATAAATAAATAAAATCTTAAAAAAAAAAAGATCTGAGCTGAGATGAAGAGTTGGAAGCTTAACTGCCAGTCACCCAGGCGCCCCCTCAGTGTGGGGAATTTTTACAAATGGAAAGCAATGGTGTCTAGGCAGTGTGAAAGCTAGGATACCACCTCCCTATTTTATAGCTTACAAAGGTAATTCCTTTAATGAACTCTCAAAATAATCCAGTGAGAGGAGTACAATTCCCTATTGTAAAGATGAAAATGGGATCGAAAGGATTAGTTACTTGTCTCAGATCACAAACAAGCTAGTAGCTACACTCTTGGCTCCAGGATCCAATTTAAAAGGCTGTGGCTATCTTGCCATGATGAAAGGATAATTTCGGAGGGAAACTGTTTTAGTGTAGGGAAAAAAAGTGGAAGCATAAGGTTCTGATTTTGTATTAGTAACAAGAAACAGGCAAACAGCCATTTTCTTCCAATTCTTCATTTTCCAGAAACAGTTCTGACTTGGGTCTTAGGTCTTTCATGGGGGGTAACAGCCCCCAGAGACCAATGAATATGGCAGTAAATCAGACCAGAATATCTAGAATGTCACATCTATAGTATCTATTGAATGCTGTAACTGCACTGAGATAATGGATCTCTGAAGCTGACTTTGGGAAAGGGTGATTCCAATCCACTGCAGACAGCTGAGAAACATGGCAGTGTATCAAAATTCAAATCCCATCTGGAACGCACCAGCAACTTGCACAGATGACACTGCTGTAGGAAAAGATACTTTATTTACATAAATAAAAGGGAAATTATTTCCCTTGCTCTTTCTTCACCATCTTATACTTTATTTCCCTGTTTCTGCCACCTTCTTCAGTTAAGCAAGGTCCTAACTTTGTTTCCTTCTTCATCCTTCTCCATTAACCTCATCCTTTCTTCTTGCCAGATCCAGTGACTTAGCACCGGGGTTCCGGTGAATAAGAAAAAAGGTGCCTCTTCTTCAAGGCACTTGACTGCCATCTGCTGGAAGATTGTTGTAATAAATATATAAACATGAATCTGCGACAACATGATAATCCACAAGAACCTATCCACCCATACCCAGAAGTCCTGCTTGGCACATCTGAGCAACCGCAAGTTTCTGAAATCCCTAGCCCAACTGGTACCTCAACCCCACTGAGCGAGTCACCTGGACCAGACACCTAGTCCGCTTCGGGCTTTAGTCTCCCCCTTGTCATAAAAAGCTTGGCTCAGGTGCATTTGGGTCCCTTTCAGTGCTAACATTTTACAATAGCATCATCATGCCCGACAATCAAATCAGGCAGTGCAGTCAATGTCTGCAGAATAAATACATATTAATCTCATAAATGATTCAACAGATGACTAGTCCATGTCTTGAGCCCTAATTCAAATATTAAATAGTTCAACTAATAAATTCTTATTATGTTCAAAGTGTTAAAGAGTTGTTTGTCTAATTCCATGCCTATAAACTAAGACGACCTCTGCCAGACCCAATCTACTTTATGATCGGTCTATGGAAAATAACCTTAAGTCAGTCAGATTTTAGACTTTTCCCCTAAGGCCTAACAAAGGGAATGTTTCATATTTATTTACTTAAAAAATATTTTATTAAATCACTTGATAGAGAGAAGGAGTGAGAGAGCACAAGCTGGGGGGCGACACAGGGAGAGGGAGAAGCAGACTGCCCACTGAGCAGGGAACCTGATGCAGGGCTTGATCCCTAGATTATGACCTGAGCAGAAGGTAGACGCCTAACCGACTGAGCCACCCAGGAATGTCTCATATTTAGAGGACAAGGACATAAAAAGTTTTTCATTGTCACGGCATGTAATGGTCAAGGACGAAACACATTTAGGAATGTCTCCTCTAAAAGGATTACGAGACAGAGAGAGTTATTAACAGCTCACAGTGAAGAAGTAGCTACATTAAAAAAATGACTCCCGTACAGTTGGTAAATAAACTTCCTCCATTTTACACTCTGCAAACAATCCCGAAGATGAGCTTTCCATTCAGGAGGATATGGCCAATGATCACTCAGCTTACCAAACATCAAACAGCTGAATCTAACTGCAAGACCAACTAAGCCTTTGGAGAATATTAGGTTTCTGGGCTTCCCCTATCAAAAACACTTCTGAGATTTTCAGAAACAATTTGGAGAATTCTTTTTTAATGTCCAAGGTAACAGAGTGGCCATTAAAAGATTCATAACTCTGAAATCAAATATTTCTTCTCCTTGCTCCCATCTCACAAGCAAAGCCTCAAGTCTCTCATTGTAGTTACCAAGGTACAAGGTACCCATCCACAGCTTTGCAAATGAGCTCTGGATGAAATGAGATTGAGAATAGTTACCAAATAAACACATGTATTGTCAGAAGGAATAAAATAATTCCCATTAATCTGATGAGCCTTCGGGTGTCAGAACTCACTATAACAAGCACTACAGAATTTCTACCTTTCAGGAGTGAAAAGCTTAGTGCATGCGCTGGGTTCTTATGAAACACAAAGTGAGGCAGTGGCCGCGAGAGCAAAACATGAAGGGGGGTGGGTTTCCCCCAATCCCTTGTAAATGAAATAATTCAACATATAGAAAAAGGAGAATAAAAATAAACTCCCGTATACCTACTGCCGCTCCATTTTTGTCGAATGTTTTAACACTTTCAGTTGCTTTAGATAAAAAAAAAAGAATATGAGAAACTACAGATTTGATTTCCTGTGTACCCATTGACCCTTCCTTTCTCTGTGAGTATATATCCATAAACAATATATGGTATATGGTTGTGAACACTTCTGACCTTTAGATAAATGATACACACCTTACATATCTACCTGCACTGTTTCTGTGTTGAATATCGTCACCCATATTAATCCTTAAGGATGTACGTACTTTTAGTTCATTCGCTTTTTACTGTCATATAGCATCCCATTGTTTGGATACAGCGATTACTTTCTTTTCATGGACAGGTTCACAGAGTGGCTGTCTCCAACTGTATTCTATTATGAACAATGTGGCATCAAAAAAATCCTCACATGTCTCCTTGTGCACATGAAAATTACTCAAGGGCAGGGGTGGGCCAACTTTCTGTGTAAAGAGTCAGGCAATAAATATTCTAGGTTTTGCTGTGTTGCAACTACTGGACTCCGCTCCTACAGTGTGAAAGTAGCTATGGAAATGAACTGACATGGCTATGTTTCAATAAAACTTTACAAAAACAGGCAGTGGACAGAATCTGGCACATGGGTTAGAGTCTGCAGAGCCTTGTACTAAAGTGTATTTATCTAAAAGTGGAGTTACTTGATCATAGGGTTATGCACATCTCAAACCACTACACATTGTCAAACTATTCTCCAAAAAGGGCTATATCCAGGGGCGCATCGCTGGCTCAGATGGTAGAGCATGCAACTCCTGATCTTGGGGTTGTGGGTTCAAGCCCTATGTTGGGTATAGAGATTATTTAAAAAATAAAATCTTAAAAAAAAAAAAAAAAAGGCTATCTCCATTTTTAATCCCATAGGCAGAGTTAAGTGTTCCCATTTCCGTGACAACTTTGGCACTGCCAGACTTAAATTCCTGTTAATCTGATAAATAGGAAATGCATCATACTTTAAGGACATCTGCATGTCCTTAATTGGTGAGGTTAAGGAACTTGCCATATGTTTACTGGTGTTCTGATTTTCCTCTTCTACAAACTGTTCCAGGGTTTCTGTCTACTTTTCTAAAATGCTATTTGCTGCTTCATAATTTACAGTTCTTTACAGACTCCGTACACAAATTAACAAGTAAAAGAGTTGCAAGTTATCTTCTACCAGTCTGGTTTGTTTTGTCAACTTTATATTTTCACTCAATATAAAATAGAGCATCATCCAATTAAAATGATCATTTTGTTGTTGCTGTTTTTAAAACTGTTTTTTTTTGACTTTTAAATAAGATCCTCTTCTACCTTAAGGCCATAGATACTCTTCTGTATTTTTTTCTAAAAATCAAAGTTTTGCTTCTCATGTTAAGTTTTTTTTACCCATCTGGAACTTATTTCTGCAAATAGCACAAAGGAATACAATTCTGCTTTTCTCCTCATATGGGTAACCCAGTTACCCTCATACCAAGAAGTGAAGGTCAGTTCCATGAGGACAGAGGATTTTTGTCACTGCTATATTCCTAGCACCTTCACAATGTGAGACACACAGGAGGCAACAGCTATCATCCTTTCTCATCTAGTGAATCACTATCACTTGCATATAAACTTTGTATAAATTTCTCTTAAATTCAAAAATTCTCTTGAGCCCATATGACCTCCACTTACTACTTCATTTCTTTGTCCTTCTTTATAATTGATCTAAAGTGTCATATAGTTACCATCTCCAGCTCTTCTCTTTCCAGTCTCTCTTAAGCCCATTCCAATTAGGTGTCACTCCCATCACTTTGCTCAAACTGCATGTCAAGTTTATTAATGGCCTCCACGTAGCAATCGTATCTGACCCATTAGCAAAATCTGAGTCCAACACTCTCCATTTGTCTTCTTCTAAGACACCATTCTCATTTTTCTTCCTACCTCACATACTTCTCCTTCTAACACTGCTGCTGGTTCCACCTTAAGATCCAAATATTTAAATATTAGAGGGACTCAGGGCTAAGTTCATAGACCTCTATTCTTCTGTCTGCATTCATTCTTATGACTTGTCCAGTCATTTTTAATAACCGCACACACACGAAGACTTCCCATTATTTGTCTCTAGCCAGTACCTCTCCCTTGACTTCCAGATTCAGATATCCAACTGCCTACCTGACATCTCCACGTGGTTATCTAATAATTATTTCAAACGTAGCATCTAAAACTAGACCCTTAATCTTTCTTACCACGGCCTTCTCCATCTCAGTAAATGGCATCTTCATCCTTTCAGCTGCTTTAGGCCAAAATCCTTGGACTCTTCCTTAACTTCTTTTTCTTTCACACCCCATATCCAAATTACTAGCAATGCCTGTCAAAATAATGCCTTCATAATATATCCTATATATATCACAGACATATCTATCGTCATATATGACTACGTCCCCACCTCCATTACTACTACCTTATTTCAAGCCATCCAGGATCTCATGCTGTATTGTTACAATAACCTCCCAATTTCCCTCTTAGCTATCCTCCTCAAGCTCCTACACAAATCCCATTTAATGGGCAAGTCATTTCTTGTCAGTCTTCTGCTCAAAACCTAAAAATAGCATTTCATTGGAATAAAAGTTGAAGTCTTTAAAATAATCTACAAGGCCCTGCAGGCTCTCCCCACCCTCTCCTTTGCTCTCTCGTGACTTTATTTTCCAACATTCTTCCTTCCCTGCTCTTCCCTGAACACGCCTCCAACCTCTTCCACTGGCTGTTCTCTCTCTTTGGCATGCTCTTTCTCCAGGTAAAGGCTAATGGCTAACTCCTTCACTTCTGTTAGGTCTCTGCTTAACTTTTCAAAAAAAGGAAGGAATGAAGGAAGGAAGGAAGGAAGGAAGCAAAGGAGGGAGGGAGGGAGGAAGGAGGGAAAGAAAGAGAGAGAGAGAGAAAGCTTTTCCTTGAGGCATACCTAACTACCCTACTTGAAACATGGCCTTCTTTTCCTGAATTTTAGCTATAGCCCTTACCATCATCTGATGTATGTGGTTTGTTTTCCTTAACTTACTTGTTTACTGACTGCTTCTTCCCACTAGGAGCAAGGATTTTTGTCTTTTTTGATCACTGCTCTATCCCCAGTACCTAGAAAAATGTCTTGCAGATAAAGGTGACCAATAAATACTTGGTGAATGAATGAAGAAAAAAAATGTCAACAGGACCTGGTGGGCTTATTGCCTCCATAGGTCCTGGGGTATGAGCACACACTGTGTGTGTGTATAAACATATAAAATTAGACCAACATTTTATGGAGAAAGCTGATCAACAGGTATGTAGTAGATTTAAAAAAAATAATGAATAACCACAGCTCATCTTCAAACTCCAGGACCGTCTCCTTTGGTAACAACAGGGAAGTAGGAACTGGAAGAGTTTGGAGAGATGAGGAGAGGGCTGCCAGAGTCCTCTTTTTCTGACCATGTGCAGCACACAAGAAGCAGAGTGACACACTTTGCTGCCTTCCTAGTGGAACAAGTTGGTGCCAGTTAATTAATTAATTATTTCAGCAAATATTTATTGAGTACCTACTCTTTCCTGGTGCCAGTTAATTAATTAATTATTTCAGCAAATATTTATTGAGTACCTACTCTTTCCCATACTTGGTACTGAATACATTTTTAGGGGTTAAATAGTACCTTCAGATACACAGTCCCATTTGAGTTTCACAACCTCTCTGGAAGTTTCTCATTTTATACGAGAAACCTGAGGGTCAGGAGATAAAGTAATTTGCCTAAGGTAAGAACCAGTAAGTGGGGGAGACAGGACTTGAATTCTAGTTCTTTTTTTCTTTTTTAAAGATGTTATTTATTCATGAGAGAGAGAGGGTGAGAGACAGCACAAGCAGGGGGAGGGGCAAAGTGAGAGGGAGAAGCAGGCCCGATGCGGGGCTCCATGTGGGCCTCGATCACAGGACCCCGGGATCAGGACCTGAGCTAAAGGCAGATGCTTAACTGACTGAGCCACCCAGGCGCCCTGAATTCTAGTCCTTATTACTATTTTTCTTTTCAAAAAGCTCTACTAAAAACTGTAAAATCTGCCGTCTTAACCATTTTTAAATGTACATTTCAGCAGTGTTAAGTATACTCACATTATTCTAAAACATTCCATGGTACAAAGCTGAAATTCTATACCCATTAAACGACAATTCCCTATCTCCCTTTTCTCTAAGCCTCTGTTAATCACCATTCTACTTTGTTTCTATGAGTCTGACTAAGAAACTCACAGTATTTGCCTTTTTGTGACTGTCTTACTTCATTAGCATCATGTCTTCAAGGCTGACACATGTGGTAGTATACGACAGTATTTTCTTCCCTCTTATGGCACAATGATATCCCACTGTATATATATACCATATCTTGTTTATCCATCATTTGATGGACATCTGAGTTGCTTCCACCTCTTGGCTATTGTGAATACCATTACTATGAACATGGGTGTGCAAATATTTTTTTGAGATCCTGCTTTTAATCCTTTTGGATATATACCCAAAAGTGGGATTGCTGATCATATTTCTTTTTTGCATTTTTTGAGGGATCACCATACTGTTTTCCACAGTAGTCCTACCACTTTATATTCCCACCAACAAGGCAGAAGGGCTCCAGTTTATCCACATCCTTGTCAACACTTGTTATTCTTTCTCTTTCTTATTTTTTTTTTAAACTTTATTTTAAAGTAAACTCTACACCCAATGTGGGGCTTGAACTCATGACGCCGAAATCAAGAGTTGCATGCTCCACTGACTGAGTCAGGCAGGTAACCCCCCCCCCATTTCTTTTTTTTCCATTTTATTTATTTATTTGACAGAGAGAGAATGAGAGAGCACAAGCAAGGGGGAGCGGCAGAGGGAGAAGGAGAAGCAGGCTGCCCACTGAGCAGGAAGCCCAACTCAGGGCTCGATCCCAAAACCCTGGGATCATCACATGAGCTGAAGGCAGATGCTTAACTGACTAAGCCACCCAGGTACCCCTATTTTTCTTTTTTTGACGGCAGCCATCTGAATGGGTGTGAGGAATTTAAACAGTTTTAAGTATACAGTTTAGTCTTTGATTTTTAATCTAGTGCTTTTTCTATTAGACTATACTGTACCATTCTCTCTGGAAGATAAAAATAAATCTGGGATGAGGCAAAAGTAGATTTTCAAGCTACATATTATGTATTATAAATGGAAAGAATATGATAAACTTTAAGTTCTACCTGGATTTGAATCTGGTTTATTTAACTTACTAGCTGTGGAGCCTTGAGGAAGCTACACAACTGTTAAGCCTGAACTGGCCCATCACTAATATTAGGAAAAGACTGCTGTGAATATTAGAGAGATATATATAAAGTGTCTAATTAAGGGATTGAGAAGTAATTAAGTACATCATAATTATGAAGTATTACGTAAGGCAAGTGACAGGAAACAGAACTGAAACCATACCAATTTTGGTAGCACTATAGATGTTTTCAATAGGAAATATTTCTCCTAGCCCATACAGGAGAACCTTGGCCAGAGCTGGAACAAGCTGGGTCGTAGTGATCAGAACATTCACACAATTCTTTCTAGAAGGGAGAAAAAACAAAAAGAAAAGAAAAGGAAAAAGTGAAACTAAACCTATATGAGAGCAAGAATTCTTTAGAATCTAATTATTAAAAACTAAACCTCTTTAGAATCTAATTAATAAAAACTAACTGCAAAGGGCCTGATACTTGTTCAGTGCCATGTTCAGTTATTGCTCTGATTACTTCAGGTTTCTTTATTTCCCATATTAAAGGACAGAGATTCTATATATTTAATGGGCACTGAGCTAACAACTTGATTCTTGTCCCATTTCCTTTCTGACCATTCTAGCTCACTGCACTTGTTACAAATAAACCACCAACCCACGTCACTGATAGCACACTCTAGAAAACCAGTAACGAAGACTCAGTCACAGCACTATTTCATCAGAATGCAACTCAGCCCTTTAATAAGGTATGATTTAAATCCTCTTTGCCTTTCACATAATGGCAACATAGATTCCAGAATATACGTTAATTTCACATGTCCTTTACCTTCACGGATATCCACCCCTTGGTGTCAGTTTTACTGTTTGCTCTACTAGGTTGTATCTGGAATTCCTGCTTCGAGGGAGGGAGCAAAAACGGTACTATAGTAGACTGTATTTGACTATATTTATTTCCCATTCTAAGCTTCAAGCAGAAGATCTTAAATTGCTTAAATTTTCCTTTTCTTCTGAATCCTGCCTTCCTGAAGGGGCTTTGATACATTTCTTTGGAGCTTCCTGTACTTAGGATATGTGATGTGTCTCCTACAGGGATTCTTTGATGTGACCAGGCCCATTCCTGGGCTGGAGATTATGGATTACCGAACTTTAGTTCTGTGAGCAAAAGTAAGGGGAAAGACAAAAGGTTTTCAAAAATACATATTCTCTGAAGATCGGAACATGTGCTGTCAGCACGGAATGACCTTGCCTCCCACCTAACCCAAGTGTTTGCCTGCATCTTTTCGACTCCTCTCACCCCTATCTGAAACCAGTGTTAGGGAGTGGCCTATCCTGGACTGGGGTAGGAAAGATGCATCTAGGAGAGGATGAGAACTAAGAGAACCATTTCCATACCTGGACTGGATGAGAAGTAAGGACTTTAACGCAGTTCCTAACCAGGAATCTGTTAAAACCTCAATTTCCGCTCTTAGTCTCTGCAGTGCTTCCTTTCTCTGGGGACTGAGCAGGCCTTTGGGAATAAAAGCAGACATATTTATCATCTGACAGTATATCCTTGCTGACACTCAGGAAGCAACTTCTAAATTCAATTTAGAAATAGTGTGAGTCACTGAAATATTCCAATGAGTTAACAGGTTTCTCTTCTTGGTAAAACCCTGGAGTAGCCTCCTTAATTAAGATACCTTTTTGACTTTCCTCCTCAGAATGTTTTGCTGGGCGGGGGGTGGGGGGAGACCACAACCACCACTACAAAATCAGCTGAAAGAAACACTGTGATGACATTCTGCCAAAGCTCACTCTTTCATCAAGAGCCAGTAACATGACTGGCAGATGGGTGGACCATACTTCGAGCTGCACTGTTTTAGATGTGACATCAAGAATCAAGGAGGGAGAAATGAGGGTTACAGTTGGAAGAGTCTGCAGCATTTCCAATCTCTCTAAAGAACCAAAGCGCAGGGAGGAAAGGGGGGCTGCCTAAGGTCACACAGCAAATTAGTGGCTTTTGGCCGCCGAAGTCTTTGTTCTGCCATACCCTGCTCCCATGGTGACTGTGCGGTTCTCACCCCTTCACAGCGCATCAACCTGAGATTCCAGGCTGAATGACCAACTTCATGAACGTCATTTATTTGTATTGTACCTACTTCTGAAACAACTCCAGCTAAGAAGAGACTAAAACACTGCTTAAGATCAGACAATTAAGCATAGAACAAAATAGAATTCATCTGATGGCAGCATGTTATCAGCCATTTGAATTATAATATTGAAACCATAAATCTGACCCTGTATTTTCTGTAGTGAAGGTAAAAGAGAAATCATGTATTCTATTACAAATATTTCATAAAGACAGAAGGCATTTCTGTGAGGAGAACGGTATATAATTTGTTTACAGATTGATGGTTTCACAATGCAAGCCTAGAATTACATGACTCTCAAGGTCTCTGATAAAACAACAACAAAACCAGCACCTTTAGGTCATGTGTGGCCTACAGGTAAGTACACGTGTCACACACTTGACTAACAATATGATGTGGCATTTCTGTTAATTCCTTTTTAAATTTTTTTAAAAGATTTTATTTATTTATTTGACAGGCAGAGATCACAAGTAGGCAGAGAGGCAGGCAGAGAGAGAGGAAGGGAAGCAGGCTCTCCGCTGAGCAGAGAGCCCGATGTGGGGCTCGATCCCAGAACCCTGGAATCATGACCTGAGCCAAAGGCAGAGGCTTTAACCCACTGAGCCACCCAGGCGCCCCTGTTAATTCCTATTTTACAAAATACAGGTGGACATTACTTTTAATATGTTCCCCAGGGCAGGCTCAGGGGATTCTCACAGAGGGTTATATCACCTTCCTCAGGAAACCAGGTCCTGGCACCCAAGAAACAGAAAAAGGATCAGACACTTGGGCTGTATATGAAAACAAAAGAAAGGCTAATGTGTGGAGAGAGCAGAGCAAAAAGATGGAGTTGCCCAAATAAAGTGCTGGCTCTTAATCATGAGAAAAAAACAGGCCATAAAAAGGGCACTCTAAAAAAAGCAAATTAAATTCCCAAAGTCCCGATGCCTGTGCTTTTTATCTGATACTGGGGGCTCTAACAGCAATGAACCAAATTACCTTTGAAGCCCTATTGCACAATGTGAGGCAGCGCAGTGCGGCAGCAGGATCTGGGGTAATATACCTCTAGACAGTTTATCGAATCCCTGAAACTTCATGTTTTGAGGGTGATGGTTCAGAGCTTAAAATTTTTTTCTCATTAAGGTACATCAGTAAAAAAGGAACTGCATCAGGGCGCTTGGGTGCCTGTCAGTAAGCACTTAACTCTTGACCTCCGGCTCATGAGTTCAAGCCTCCTATTGGGCACAGAGCTTACTTTTAAAAACAAACAAACAAACAAATAAATAAACAAACAAAAAGACAAACATCTTTCATACTTAGAAAAAGCGGGGGGGCTGCATGAATGTAAAGTGCACTGGACCAAGAGTTAGGGGATTGGGTTCCAGCTGTGACCGTGGGTAAGCTGTCCTGAGCACCCTCATGATAAGTGTGCTTTCTCGAATTCAAAATGAGGGATTCTGATTATATATATATTTTTTAATAATGAATTTGCTTTTTTCTTTCTCTTTTTAAAAGATTTTATTTATTTATTTGACATAGAGAGAGTTAGCAAGAGAGGTAATACAAGCAGGAGGAGTAGGAGAGGGAGAAGCAGGCTTCCTGCTGAGCAGGGAGCCTGATGTGGGGCTTGATCTGGATCATGACCTGAATTGAAGGCAGACACTTAACTGACTGAGCCACCTAGGCGCCCCTCAGATTAGATTTCTCATGTCTCTTCTAATTTGAACAATCTATGGCTAATTTATTAATCTTAAATAACACAATTTTAGGCAAAGTGACACCTGATATTTGAGTTATTTTGGGGCAGGATTTCCAAGGTCCAACATATGGCTACTGCCAACCTTTAATTCTGGACTGAGTTTTCCATCCTTTATAAATCTAGCCACCAGTTCTGCCTGACTTGTTTTGATAGTTACATAAATCAGTCAAAAAACATGGCAACCTATTAACTAGTATTGACAATAGCTGTGACTCCAGAATAAAACATACGTAATCAGATATAATCTTTGAAACACACTTCTTTAAAAAGGTATTTATCTAAAAAGAACAAGAGAACTCTGCAAAGCTTTGCTAAGAGAAGTCCATGAGAAATGCAGAGTTTCCTCCTCAAAGAGTTTCAGTCAAACCTCATTTTTTTAAATACAAAGTTAAAATGTGATTGTGGCCCCAATTCCTAAGCAGTTGCTACGCTGTTCTGAGGAATCCCTGGAAAAGAACACAGGAAATAAGAGGGAAACAGAATATCAGACTTGTTGTATGACACACTTACCACCCACGTTGCTTTTATGCTTATCATAGATTTCTCTCACTTTTCGGTAGCGGAAAGCCAGTTTTCTCATCCAGTCCACACCTCCCTGGACACCCACAGAGGAACCATGGCTGCTACCGCCACCTGATCCACTGAAACCATCTGTTGAGAAACTGTAGTTGCTGCAGAGAGAGAGAGGATGATGAAAATTAATATCTTAACTGTACAGGGTTTTGGGCTGGATCCTACCTGGGATTCTCTGTCCTATTCCTGGCATCTGACATCAAGTCTAAAGGCTTTTTTTTTTTTTTTTTTAAGATTTTACTTATTTGAGAGAGAGAGAGACAGAGAGAGAGAGCATGAGACGTAGAGGGTCCCAAGGAGAAGCAGACTCCCCACTGAGTAGGGAGACCGATGCGGGACTTGATCCTGGGATTCCAGGATCATGACCTGAGTCGAAGGTAGTCGCCCAATCAACTGAGCCACCCAGGAGCCCCAAAGTCTAAAGGCTTTGAGAAACTTCTCTCTTAATCTCTGTGTGTCAGAATCTATCTTCCATTAGTTGTCTACCTCACCCCCATTACTGCCATCAAAGAAAGGAGGGAGAGAGAGGGAAAGAGCGGTTAGGGCCCATTCAAGCACCAGCATCCCCTATAAGTTGTCTTGGGAATAGAGCATCTTTTCATTAATGATAGAGTATCTTTTTTTTTTTTTTTTAAATAAATTGTGGTTTTGTTTTGTTTTGTTTTGTTTTTTTTGACAGAGAGAGAGATCACAAGTAGGCAGAAAAGCAGGCAGAAAGAGAGAGGGAAGCAGACTCCTTGCTGAGCAGAGAGCCCAATGCGGGGCTTGATCTGAGGACCCTGAGATCATGACCTTAGCTGAAGGCAGAGGCTTAACCCATTGAGCCACCCAGGAGCCCCAATGATAGAATATCTTTAAAAAAAACCAAAAACCCAAAACCCAGAATATAACATTTTTATGTACACAGACACAGACACAGACACAGACACACATGGCAACTATGTAATGTGGAGAAACGTGTGAAGAAATAACCCCAAATATTAATAATTGCAAGGTGTAATGGAGATGTTCTTCAGACATACGTTAGCTGGTTTATTAATTTCATGGGTCAAAGTGGTGGCTTTAAAATGTCCACAAATTCTTTAATAACTCTCTCTTCTAATTCCTCTCCTTATGGGTATTGACTGCATTTCAATGTAAACAGGATGTGGTAGAAGTGATGGTGTCAGACCACAAAGACAGGCTTCTCTTGCTCTCTTGGAGCACTTGCTCTGAGAGAAGTCAGCTGTCATGAGAACACTTGAGCTGCCCCCCCAGAGAGGCATGCATAGTGAGGAACTGAGGTGTCCCGTTATCAGCCACGTGTGAGAAGCTGCAAGCAGGTCCTCCAGCTCCCATCAAGCCTTCAGATGATTTAAGCTCCAGCCAGTATCTTGATTTTTAATCTCAGAGACCCTAATTCAAAACTATCTCGCTAAGTCACTTTCAAGTTCCGGTCCTATAGAAATTACGAAATGATAAATGTTTATTGTTTTAAGCTACTAAGTTTTGGGGGAATCTGTTACACAGCCATAGAAATAAGTAATACAGTTAAACAGGCTGGGAGAGGTGAACACTTCTTAAGTAAAGATTTTAAAAAAATGACTGACAGAATTAGAGATAACTTGGTTCAATCAAAAGTCAAAACTGAGTTCAGTAAGTACTTTAAGAAAGTAAAGCTGTCAAGATATTTAGGTAATTACTGGTTAGCCTCATGTATAAGAGGGAAAAAACTCTGGGCTTCAGAGTGGATTATAAACTGCTTCAGACCAGGCACTTTCCTAAAAGGTCCAGTAAAATCTCATTAGTACAGTGCACTCCGTGGCCATGTGAGCCACGTGCATGACTGGACGCTGCTTCTCACGTGGGACCTCGTAATCTTTCTCAGCCCTACAGGATTAGATCCTTCCAGTTCTGCTCTATGTTTGAGAATTCATGGAGGAAACAATTTTAGGGTAGACACAGGGAAGAACCTATAAAAGGGAGAAACATGAAAACAAATCAACATGAAAAAAATGTGACAGTCTTTTTTTCTGCAAGTCTTTAAATAGAAGCTAGATACATTTTTGGATTATTCAGTAAGACTACTGGGTAAAAAGAGAGTAGTCAAGAGAGAAATGAGGACACAAAGCAAGCATTTTGCCATCGAGATCCCCTTGGTATAGTGTTCACTGACACAATGTTTAAGGTTGTCTCTGATAGGGTTACTCCTGACACCAACAGACCCCACAGTTAGTTTCCCTGGTAAAATGCCTTATGCTTATTTGTATCTAAAACTAACCAGTCTGGAAGCACACTCCTCCTGACTGAAAATCTGGGCAAAGAGAAACTAGTATATCCTTTACTTTGAAGCCTTTTTTTTTTATCATTCCATCATTGCTACCCATTCTTCAAGGCCATACTCAAATTCTACTGCACTGAGAAGGCCCCTCCAACGCTGGCAACCATGGCCACCAGAATTACTTTCTTTTCTGTGTGCTCCGTCACATTCTCTACAGGCACCTCCGCACATGGCAGTCCATCATTACCTCTTGGTCTCCGCTAAGACTGTGAGATCTTTTAGGGCCATGTCTTACTCGTCTTTGTTTTCCTCTGAACCTAGACAGTGTCTCGTGCCTAACAGGTATATACTTATGTTTAAGACATCACTGCTTCTATCACCTCAAGTCCTGGCCATTGTCATCAGAAGCCACATCTTCCACGTGCACCTGGTCACACTCCTGTTGAAAGACAAAACCAAAAACTATTTCAGTCCAGGGAGCATTAAGTGCCACCACCACCATGACATACTGTAAAAAGACCACAACCAATGGCAGATGATGAAATACCTTACAGTCTCTCTTGTGTGTTGAGGACCACTCTCACCCCTCTGCTGTCCAACCTCTTTTAAGGCCTAAGTCAGGTCCCACGGTCTTCATGAAATCTTCCTTACCCAGCCCAACTCTCAAGTATGCTCTTCTCTCAGTAGTCATGGGTATAACACAACAGCTCATGGGTATAAACACAAGCTCTTTCCACTGTCAGGGATGTCAATGTTCTATGCCAGACTGTGAAGTTCTGTTATACACTGTGGCCTTCCTGTGGCACAATCTGTATCCTACAGCTTCTCTTTACCCCTCCAGTCTAGTCCTTGTGTAGCATGTGCTCGCTCTTAATGTAGCATGTATCCAATACGTTTTTGCAGATGAAACAGATGCTGGTAGAGTATGGTATCAAAACGGAGAATGACTGTAACAGAAATCTGTAAATCCAAACTTAGGAATTAGAAGTGGTCACCCAAGTTAATCTCCTCATGTTCCGAAAGTGAGGTGAAATGAGTGACCCGCATTCATATAACTAGTGAGTGATAAAAAGGAACTAGAAAAAGCCTGGGTCTTCCAATTTGAATCCAAGGTTCTTTCCACCAAGCCTGAGCTACTATGGACATAAAATGCCACCCACTGCCTAACACTGAGAGATTCACTCCTCTGATACCACCTAAGGCAATATTGTGATGTCCACCTGTATCAGAATCCCCTGGGGAAGTTTTTTAAAAATGCATATTCTTGGGTCCACCCCAGACCTACTTCAATCAGAATTTCTGGGTGTGAAGTCCTAGAATCTTCATTTTTAACAAGCTTCCCAGGTGATTCTTATGCCCCCTAAAGTTGAGAACCACTGACCTGGGGGGCAGGAACATATTCAGGTCAAATTCTTCACAGAACTTTCAGTCCTGAGTGAGGTCTATGTCTAGAAAATCATTACAAATACAATTTGGCAATAATTATTGGCACAAAGTAGGTTTTCAGTAAATGTTTGCTGAGTAAAAACTATGATGTCCTAACATGTCAACATGTGAAGTTGAGGAAGATTAAAGCATTGTGGAGGTTAGACAAAGGTACTGGAGTTTAGAGCCCTGGTAATTCAATTTGTTGGAGAACTGTTCATTGAGTAAAACTAGACTATATTTGAAAAGAAATAGGATTATTTTGTGTTTATGAAAGGTTATCTTATTTTTAATTAATTAATTGTATTTATTTTAAGTAATCTTTACACCCCATGTGGGACTGGAACTCACAATCCTGAGGTCGAGTTGCGTGCTCTTCTGACTGAGCCAGCCAGGCACCCCACTATTTTGTTTTTTAACTTACAATTTTCACCGTTTTTAAAAAACTAGGTTACGTAAGTAGTACACAGTCTGAAACTCAGAAGGGCATGAAGTGAAAAGTCCGCTCCTTCCCACCTCTGTGTCCCAGCAACATATCCCCTTCCCCAGACTGAACAACTGTTACTAGTTTCTTGTGTAGGATAACTGCTTAACTGAGGCCCAGAATGGGGAGGTAACTTTCCTAACCTGGAACTCACACTCTGGTCTTTTGACTTCCCAGTCTTGTGCTCTTGCCACTATACCACGGTCACCTCAAAGGTGAACGCAAATGTCAAAAACAAAAAACTTCACCAAGATATTCTCTGTGTCCCTGGTTTTCCTTGCATCTAACTATAAAATGATTCTGGATATCAAGGTGAACCTATACATGGATAATAAGCATATATAAAGTATAATGAGTCAGAATAGCCATTTATAGATCTGACAAATCAAGAGATTATATTTTAAGAAGGTAAAGTCGAAAGATAGTCAAGATATAATTAAGAGTACAGAGTCAAACCCACCTTATTATTTGTTACTTAAGACAGATGAATAAATAGGAATGTTGGTTTATATTTCACTGTTTTGTGTGAAGGGCTGGCATTTCCTCTAGAGCTAGATCACTTCCAAAGAGGCTAACAAAAATCAAATTTTTGAACCAATAAAATTGAGGGCCAGTACCAAGACTGATGACCAAGCTAAGGTACTATTCTTCTAAGACTATAAAAGCCTAAGTGGCCAGCTGGCTTCTCCACAACCCCCCCTTCTCACCACATTTCCTCTCAATACATAAGCAGAGGCTAGATAGTTATTGAACAAACAAAATGTTTCACTGAAGCACAGAACACTTTAACATGCTTACCTCTAAGTCATTGAAAAATAGATGTGTATCAGCCACCTCAAAAATCATCTCTTCCATTGTTAAACCTGAGCCAATCACTACTGTTGGATCCTAGAAGACAGTGAGAGAAAAATTTGTTTAATTTGGTACCAACAGCACTCGTTCTAATCTTCAGGTATTTCGGAGTTATTCTGGGTCAAGGCCTGCAAAAGTGCTTCTAACTATTACTCATGCAATTTCATTCACAGTGAGAGGAATCTGGGATTATGCAAAGTTAATTTCTGAAGTCAGTTTTTAGAAAACTAAACCCACTTTAAAAAAAACATTTTGAGCAGAAATTCCCTGTTTTGTAAGAAATGCTAACTATTGCTAAAATATTACTATTGTAATACCCATTATCTCCCTTCAGCCTCCCCGACACAGACACACAAACACACACACACACACACACACAGAGAGTATAAATACTGGAAGTCAGTTATCTGACAATCTCAACAGTCAGGAAATAAGTGAAGAAGGCTGAAAAGTCAAAATATTTGTAGGAAAACCAATGCATTTAGCTTTAAAGTGAACCATCAGGTCTTCACTTCACAAAATGTTCACAAACATTTTGTTTGTTCAATAACTATCTAGGCTTCTGTATGCTCTTATTTTATATACTTTTATAATCAGCTTATACAGTGTATGAGCTAATGTCAGCTTACCAGCCTGGATACTAAAAGCCTGTGGAAAGTACTTCTAACAGAAACATTAATGATAATAAGAAATAAATGGAAATAGTAAGAAAGCAAAGGAAGCAGATATTTTTATAAAATTTATTCACAGAAACCAAAAAATAGAAGCCTGGAGATAATTTAGTGTAGAAATACATAGCTTATCCCTCTATTCAAGCTGATGTTTAGGGGTACCTGGATGGTGCAGCTGGTTAAACACCCAACTCTTGGTGTGAAGTCTGCTTGGATTTTCCTCTTTCTTTCTTCCCTCCACAACCCCGTGCGTGTGTGCTCTTTCTCACTCTCTCTCTCAAATAAATAAATCAATCTAAAACAAACAAAGAAACAACGTCCCCCTCCCAAAACTCTGTTTATATTGATGACTAAATAAATTAAATTCTGCTTGGTATATTTAGTTTAAGGAGGTATGTAATCTATGTAAGAAAAATATTTTGTACTTTACATATATTTTAAATTTACATATCTGGCATATACTCAGCTAAATAAAACGCTCAGTTTGGGCTATTAAAAGTGACTTAACATTAACAGATATGTCTTTGGAATATATAATCCTAAGACTCCATTCTGTTTTGAGCTTCATTCCCATATTTAGTCTTTATAAAATAGTAGTCTTCAACAACTTAAGCTTACATAGCACTGGTCTTAGGTCTAGTCTCCAGCTTTATTAATACTGCCTGACCATGTAGCCTGCCTGGTACAAGCCATCAGGTGAAGTTTTACATGGAAAGCGAAAGAAAGGCCAACAGGGTAAGATAGAGGTAGCAGAAAAAAGTGATTTTGGTTACCTGCCCATATAGTCAGGAGGAGGACACTACAACAAAGGAAGAAAGACTCAAATTACCTTTCCATACTTCTGGGCATAGGATCCAGTAAGAAGAGAGTGAAAGATGATGATGGTTTCATCCAAGTCCCAGAGAAATACCCGCTGAGGAAGGAAAACAAAAAATAGTGAGTGAGCATCTTTTCTTAATACAATGGAATGGAACAAGAAATACGTAAAAGAAAGAAAACTAAAAAATTCACAAATATGTGAAAATTAAACAACACCATTTTAAACAACTAACAGATCAAAGAAAAAGATCCCAAGTGAAATTAGGAATACCTTGAGATGAATGAAAACGAAAACAGAACATACCAAAATTTATAGGCTGCAGTGAAAGCAGTACTAAGAGGAGAATTTATAGCTATAAAATGCATGCCTTCAAAAAGAAGTAAGATTTTAATCAATAACACGACTGTCCAATTTAAGGAACTGGAACGAACCAGCAGAAGGAAAGACTAAAGGTTAGAATGGAGATAAATAAATCCAAGAGTAGAAAAATAACAGAGAAAAAAAAAATCAATGAAACCAAAAGTTGGTTCTTTGAAAAGATCTACACAATTGACAACTTTTAGCTAGGTTAAGAAAAAAAAGAAGCCTCAAATTAGTAAAATCAGAAACGGAAATGGGGATGTTATTATCAATTTTACAGAAATAAAAAGAATTACAAGAGAATACTATGGACAGTTGTATACTAACAAATAACCTAGATGGACATGGACAACTTCTTAGAAATTTACAAAATGCCAAAACGGACTCAGGAAGAAACGAAAATCTGAATAGACCTTTAACAGAGGTTGAACTCAGTAATCAAAGAAACGAAAATCTGAATAGACCTTTAACAGAGGTTGAACTCAGTAATCAAAAAGATACCAAGAAAGAAAAGCCCAGGACCAGATGGTTTCACTGTTAAATTCTACCAAACATTTAAAGAAGTAACACCAATCCTTCTTTAACTCTTCCAAAAAGTTGAAGATGAAGGAATACTTCCTAAGTCATTCTATGAAGCCAGCATTACCCCGATACTAAGGTCAGATAATAGAGACACTACAAGAAAACTGCAGACCAATATCTCTTATGAACATTAAAGCAAAAAGTTCTCCACAAAAATACTAGCAAACAAAATTCTAGCAGCATATTAAAAGGACTGTATGTTATGACCCTGCGGGATTTGTTTAGAATGCAAGGATGGATCAACATACATAATGATCAACATTAATCAGTGTGATATGCTACCTTAAGAAAACAGGGGGTAAAAACCCAATTGTCATTTCGATTGATACAGGAGGAGCATCTGACCAAATTCAATACACTTTCATAATAAAAACACTCAGTAAACTAGGAGTAGAAGTGAATTTCCTCACATGATAAAGATTGTATATGAAAAACCCAGAATTAATATCTTACTCAATGGTGCAAGACTGGAAGCTTTATCCCTGAGATCAGGAATAGGACAAGTATGCCTGTTTTCATCACTTCTATTCAACATAAGTCCCAGAATAATGTGGCAAGAATTGGGGGGAGAAAAAGGTACCCAAGTTGTAACGGGAAAAATAAAATTATCTCTGTTCACAAATGACATGATCTTATATAGAGAAAAATCATTTTTCTAAAGAATTCCTAAAGAATCCACGAAAAACTGTTAGAGCTAATAAATGAATTCAGCAATGAGCTGTATTTCTATATACTTGTAACAACTAATCCTCAAAGAAATTAAAAAAAAAAACAATTCCATTTACAATAGCATCAAAACTAATAAAATACTTAAGCATAAATTTAACCAAGGGGTGCCTGGGTGGTTCAGTTGGTTTAGCAACCAACTCTTGATTTTGGCTAAGGTCATGATCTCAGGGTTGTGAGCTCAAGCTCCAAGATCTAAATAAACAGAAAGACATCCCATGTTCATGGATGAACGACTTAACAGTGTTAAAGTGACAATACTACCCAAATGATTTACAAATTCAGTGCATCCTTATCAAAATCTCAATATTGCTTTTTAAAGAAAAACTCATCCTAAAATTCATATGGAATCTCATATTCCATAGCCTGAAAGGACAAAATAATCTTGAAAAAGAATGAAGTTGGAAGACTCACACTTCCTGATTTCAAAACTTACTACAAGGCTACAGTAATCAATACAATGTGGTACCTGCAAAAGGAAACACACATAAACCAATGAAATTGACAAGATAACTCCTAAGAAATAAACCCTGACATATACAGTCAATCTTTTTAAAAAAGATTTTATTTATTTATTTGACAGACAGTGATCATAAGTAGGCAGAGAGGCAGGCAGAGAGAGAGAGGGGGGAAAAGCAGGCTCCCTGCTGAGCAGGGAGACCAATGTGGGGCTCGATCCCAGGTATGGTCAATTTAAAAAAAAAAAAAAGATTTATTTATTTGAGAGAGAGCAGAGCAAGAGACAGAGCACGAGTGCAGGGCTGGGGTAGGGGGAGGGGGGACAGAGGGAGAGGGAGAAGCAGACTCCCCACTGAGCAGAGAGCCTGATGGGATTAGAGGCCCCAATCCTAGGACCCTGGGATCATGACTCGAGCCAAAGGCAGACACTTAACTGACTGAGCCACCCAGGTGTCCCCATATACAGTCAATTTTTTACAAGGATGCTAAGACCATTCAAGGGAGAAAGGAAAATATTTCCAACAAAAGGTGCTGGGAAAATTGGTTATCCATGTGCAAAAGAATGAAATTAGACCCTTACTTTATACCATATACAAAAACTAACTCCATACGAAAAAAATTAATTCAATATGTTTTTTTTTTTTAAAGATTTTATTTATTTGACAGAGAGAGAGAGAGATCACAAGTAGGCAGAGAGGCAGGCAGAGAGAGAGGGAGAGGCAGGCTCCCCACTGAGCAGAGAGCCCGATGTGGGGCTCGATCCAGGACCCTGAGATCATGACCTGAGCTGGAGGCAGAGGCTTAACCCACTGAGTCACCCAGGCGCCCCAAATTAATTCAATATGAATCAAAGACCTAAATTTATGAGCTACAATAAAATTCTTAGAAGAAAACATAGGTAAATGCCTTTATAACCTTGTATTTTTTAACACTAAAGCACAACAAATAAAAGAAAAACAGGACTTCAACAAAAGTGAAACTTGTGCATCAAAGAATACTATCAAGATAGTAAAAATCCACAGAATGGGAGAAAATATTTGCACATCAGATATCTGAGAAGTTATTAGTATCTAGAATATATAAAGAATTCCTAAAACTCAACAAAAAAATACCAAACAACCCAATTAAAAACTGGTCATAGGATTTGACCAGCTATTTCTCCAAAGAACATATACAGACGGCCAATAAATACATGAAGAGATGTTCAACACTGTTACTGGCCATTAAGGAAATAGAAATCAAAACCATTTCACATCTATTAGGATGGCTATTATTTTTTTTTAAAGATTTTAATTTATTTATTTGACAGACAGAGATCACAAATAGGCAGAGAGGCAGGCAGAGCGAGAGAAGGGGAAGCAGACTCCCTGCTGAGCAGAGCGCCCCATGGGGGGCTCCATCCCAGGACCCTGAGATCATGACCCGAGCTGAAGGCAGAAGCTTTAACCCACTGAGCCACCCAGGCGCCCCTAGGATGGCTATTATTTTTAAAAAAGGGGGTGGGGAATAATAAGTGTTGGTGAGGATGTGGAGAAATTAGAACTCTCATGCATTGCTGGTGGGAATGTAAAATGATATAGCCACTATGGAAAACATTTTGTTTCCTCAAAAAGTTGACCACAGAATCACCATATAATCTAGCAATTCTACTCTTTAGTTTATATCCAAAATAACTGAAAAGAGAGACTCAAAGAAATATATATCTGGATAACAATGTTCATAGCAGCATTATTCACAATAACTCAAAGGTGGAAAAAACCATTAGTATCCATCAACAAATGAATGAGTAAACAGAACATGGTATATACATACAATGGAATATTATTCAGCTACAAAGGGAAATGAAGATCTTATACATGATATAACACAGATGAGCCTTGAAAAGATGCTAAGTGAAAGAAGTCTCACACTTGGGGTTATGGACATTGGGTAGGGTGTGTGCTATGGTGAGTGCCGTGAAGTGTGTAAACCTGGAGATTCACAGACCTGTACCCCTGGGGAAAAAAAAAGTATATGTTTATAAAAAATAAAATTAAAAAAAAAAAAAAGAAGTCTCACACAAAAGGGTAGATATTCTATCATTCCACTTACACGAGATACTCAGAATAGGTAAATTCCGAGAAACTGAAAGTAGAATAGAGGTTGCCAGGGGCTAGTGGGAGGGGAGAATGGGGAGTTATCCCTTAATAGGCAGAGTTTTTGTTTGGGATCATGAAAAAGTTCTGGAAATAGATAGTGGCAACAAACAGCATTGTAAATGTACTTAATGTCACTGAACTGCACACTTAAAAAATGGTTGAAATGGTAAATTTTATGTTACGTATATTTTACCACTATTAAAAAAACTTGGTTCTCAGTTTTTCCCAAAAAATGTAAAAGGACTTAGATTTTTTTTTTTTTTTTTTTTTAACCTTTTTTTTTTTTTGGTCAGGAACAAAAGGAAAGAGAGTCCCCAAACACAGCCTTAATTTACTCATGTCTTAATACCTATTGATGAACTCATTTTTAAATACAGCATCCCCCTGCCCATTAAATGCTCATATTATAGAAAAATCAAATACAAAACAAAAGCATATAAAACTCCACTATTATTAGCATTTTGTATGATTTTCTAATCTTTTTAATAACGAAGCCAAATGCAATGTCCCTAATAAATGCTTATAGTGCTTAACCACAAAATAAGTGAGTACTCATCTCATTAATAAGTTATGCGTTTCACAGAAGCTTGGCCTAAAGCACTCTCATCTTCTCATTTTACTTTTAGATTTTTAAATGGAGAACACTATGACATTATCTGCGACACCCTGTGCTTTCTGAATATGAGGGAACTGTTCTTTCTATTCTGCTCTGAACACAGAGAACAAACTGTTCTGGCAAACTAAACAAACTAACAAACTAAATAAAAAGTTACTTGACTACCTAAATTCAAAAAAGCTTCTGCAATGCTTTGGTGAAAAGCATCCGAAAGTAATATGGCAAGTTATGGGCTCGGAGAAATGTGTTTTTACATTTCTCTCTTCACTAGGACGGTTTCGTTTCTCTTGACCAAGAATCGCAGGTGGTGGCAGGGCGGGGGTTGGGGGGCATTACTGCCACAGAACTACAGTATCTCCATGAGTTTCAGATAAGTATGTTCGATGAACTTAAAAAATGAGAAAAAAAAATGTAGGTAACTCAAATGAGTTTCTTCCCATACTTCCAATTCACTGTCCTGGGAAGAGCTGGCATCAGCTTTCCTTTTGCCCCGGTTCTTGCCAGTCATGTTTTTTCTGGACTCATCCGCATCTTTATTTGGTGTAGTTTGGGACAAAGATGGGCTTGAAGAAGGGTCTCCTGGAAAGAAAAGTGAGATATATATTGCCAGTAGTCACAGGCTATAAGAACCAGAGCTGGAAGAGGGTCAGCATGCTTTATGTCCGTAAGAACCATATTACAGTGATAAAGGCTGGAAAATCAAACTTCGCCTGATCAGTTTAGGAATGCATACCTAGGCACCAACATCAAGCATCAACAGCTCCTAATATAACAGAGAGTTATAATAGAATTTATATACCTGCCTCTCAATGCAAGAACACAGCCATAAAGTTGTTTCACACACACACACACACACACACACACACACACACAAAACCCCCAAAAACCTGAACCTGTATCTGGCTAAGTTTCTATATCAGAGTTTCTCGACTTGGCACGATTGACATTTTGGGCCAGATAATTTTTTTGTTGAGCCGACGTCCTATGTATCATAGGATGACTGGCTAAGCAGCACCCTTGCCCTTTATCCACTAGATGCCAGTAGCACTCCCCCCGCACTGTGACAACCAAAAATGTTTCCATACACTGCCAAATGTCTTAGGCGAATGCGGGAGAGGGCAAAGCAAAAAAACACCTTCAGTTGAAAACCATGACTCTAGTTCTATTTACCAATTTAAAATAAAATACAGAAGCCAGCAGGACATGTTGATCTATCCAATACAGAGATAATCAGCAAAATTCAGACTGGGAAATGGCATGAGATAAACACTCCAGTTTCTTCACAAATACAGTAACATCAGAGAATTTTAAAAAAAAGGGGAATTTATAAGTTAAAAGAGAAAGTATATATCCATCAATCCCAATGTATGAACCTTACTTTGATCCTAATTTAAATAAACTCTAAATAAAATAGGTTAATTTTTAATAAATTAAAAACTCTAATAAAAAAGAAAAATAAAACTCTTCACATTTATGAGAAAATGAGAAATAATACCTTTTAGTATTTTATGATAATGTAAGGAATTACTGCTGAATTATTTCAGAGGGAATGGCATTGTGGTTTCACTAGCAAATATTTATCTTATAGACATAGAATGCCTGGAATTCGGTGAGAGAACTGGATTAAGTACAGTTGAAATACGAGTTAATTGTTGAAGATGGATGATGGATACATAAGATGTTCATTATACTATTCTGATAACTTCTAGGTTTGAAATTCCCTATTATTAATAAGTTAAAATTGTTATGAAGAATAGATATTTAGAGCTATGAATTCAAAACTAAGGCATCAACAAGTGTAACTACTTCAAAGTTATGTAAATTTGAAGCAGTATCCTTTCCTTAGAAGACAAGTGAAGGTGCACAAAAAGATGCTTTAGTTGAGACAGAACACTACTTTTAAAAATGTATCAGTGCTAATAATAAACAGTCCTTCGTCCAATTATATGAAGTGACAGCCAACCACTAAATTTTCCTGAATGATAGAGACAAATAAAAAGGATATACATATGTTTACTTACTGAATGTGTGTATAAAGCCTTTATGTCAGGGTTTTTTTTAACCTGGACTTCATAATTCATCGACACATTTCAAACCTAAATGTACAGGTTTAAACTTGTAGGTTAATTATGTATTTCCTTGAGAGGGGAAGGACCATCGCTTTCCTCATGATCTTGGAGATCCATGACAGAAAAAGTTAAGGACTACTGCTCTGAGGCCGTAGCAGGCATCCACAATACGTACTGACTAAAACTAGAGTCCTTCAGCTTTGCCAAAACGTGCCAAGATTCTGAAGTTCCCTATGACAAACACAGTAAAGCTGAAGGGCGGAATGGCTGTCACAGTCTTCTCATTCTTGGTGCTTTTCTGTTCACAGGATCAGTTATTACATTCAGCCTGCCAATGACTCAGCACATAGTCTGGTTCTAATTTTTAAATATTCCTCACCTGAGAAGGAAAGCCAATAGCACAGTAACAGTGACTCAGACCAGAACAAAATGATCTTTACTATTCCATAATGTTGAATGAAGTGCCCTTAAGCCAAAGGCTTGAGAGGTACGGTGCTTACCAGAGGAAAGTCTCTGTGCTGTCGGCGCAGGTACCATGACACTAGGCTTCTCCGTCTGGTATGTGGCTGCGGCTAATGTGGTACTCTCGGTATCACTGTTAGTCTGGCCCGCGACTCCAAAGCTGGAGCTTGGGTAGCAGGTCTGGTACTGACTCTGACCAAGGATAGTATAGGTGGGATAGTCCTGTAGACCAAGGGGAATAAGGGAGGAAAACAAGACTTTCAGAAAAGAGCAAAGCGCTGATTTCAATACAAGAGACTTTCTGTCCCTTTTTTTTTTTAAAGATTTTATTTCTTTATTTGACAGAGAGAGACATAGCAAGAGCAAGAGAGTGAACACAAGCAGGGGGAGTGTGAGAAGGAGAAGCAGGTTTCCAGCTGAGCAGGAAGCCCGATACGGGGCTCAATCCCAGGACCCTGGGATCATGAACTTAGCAAAAGGAAGATGCTTAATGACCAAGCCACCTAGGCGCCCCACTTTCATGTCCCTCTTACTCATTGTTAGTTTCCTAAAACATTTATTTGACTTCTCATTTACCCATCTATAGCTTCCACCTAAACCAATGATTTTCAAAATGCATTCTGTGGCAACCTAAGAGTCAAGAGGAGAGACCTCAGAGGCTATCTTTGCCATGAGCAAGAGGCTGAGAGAGAAGGGTCCCATGCACTCTACACACAATGTCCCTTTTCTACTCTAATGGCTTTCTTTCTTTCTTTTTTTTTTTTCCCCATTTTAGGTACTGAATTTCTGTGTAAATTTCTGCACAGAATTTCTGATGATTCTATTCTTTAAGAAGTTTATAAGCAACTTCACTAGATGCTAGTGCTTTCTAAGTACAGATGAGCTTAAACAAAAAAGCACATATCCTACATTAAGGTTTCCTAGTTTAAAAACTGAGTATTGGGGCACCTGGGTGGCTCAGCCCATTAAGCGTCTCTGACTCTTGATCTTGGCTCAGGTCTTGATCTCAGGATCATGGGCTCAAGCCCCACTTTGGGCTCCATGCTGCGCATGGAGTCTACTTAAAAAAAAAAAAAAAGAAAGAAAATTAGAGGGAACTTTTTAATGGTTTCATGGGCACATACATGTCAAATCTTATCAAACTACAATTTAAATGTATGCAGATTATTATATATCAATTATACCTTAATAAAGCTGTGCAAAAAATGTGTATGATGTATAGCTCAAATACATACCTTAAAAAATTTCAACTGATACTGATGTTGGTAAACAGCAGGAAGAAGCTAATTAACCAGACCAATTATAAAGAATACTGAGCATCTACCATAAACCAAATATAACTCAGTCAGGGTATGTGTCTAGGTATGAGCTGGAACATTAAAGAAAAGAGTAAGCTGTACTGGCTGAACTCAAGGGAGTTAAAAGTCTAGCAGGAGAAGACAACATTTTCAACAAATTGGCAGCAAATTATATGTCCAGTGAGTGAAATACAGAGGAAGACAACTATCCTTGTGATAGAGCTTTCTGAGCTAAACAGACAGAGGAAATAAGAGCATGAATAGAGCCTAAAAAGGTTTTATTAAGGGACCAGAGATATTGAGTCTGGTTGAAACAAAGGATCTTTCAGGCTTGAATGAGTCATGCAAGCCTATGAATGTGACTTGGATTCTTTAAGGCCATGGTGTATAGTTTGCGTGTGGGGGTGGGCAGGTAACAGTGACTATCAAAATCAAAACAACAAAAATACAGAAAGACTCTGGGCAGATGATTGACAGGATAAAAGTAGACTTTTGAGAAAATTATTCAGATAGTGTTTTAAAATCTTTTTAAAAATCTTTTTTAATAATCTCTAACCCTAACATGGGGCTTGAACTCATGACCCCAAGATCAAGAGTTGTATGCGCCACTGACTGAATCAGCAATGTGCCCTCAGATAGCGTTTTAGGAAATGGTTAGGTACAGAGGAAAACTGGGGATGAGATGAACAGTTAACTGAAGTAATTCAGGATTAAAGGGGAAGAACCAAAACATAGGAAATAATAGCAAAAATGGAAGAGAAAGAATTCTAGAAATGGCTACATTAGGAATAGGTGAGGGAAAAAAACTGAAAACAACTGGTTTGGTTGAGGCCTAGCTTTATTTAAAAATGGTCTCATTGACAATTGAAAAGTCATAGGGAAAAGTGCTTTTTACTTTTGAAGGACAACGAGCAAAAAAAGTTGGAATGAAAGCCTGGCTTTTGATATGATAAACTTAGGGAAACAGCGAGACATTAAAGAAAAACATGGCCATCAATCAGCAGGAAGCCTGTAGAAATCATGCAGTCAGGACTAGAATGTTCATTTCGGAGGTAGTAAATGGACCCTGTGAATGTAACATTTCTGGGGATGAAATAATAAACATGTGGAAAACTACATACACTGTCCATGAGAGAAAACAGGATCAAAAAGAAAACTTAGGAAAGGCAAAGATAAATAACATGGAAGAGTGCCAGGTATATAGTAGAAACTCAGTAATTTGCGAACTCTAAGAATGAAGAAATGCAAAAACAGTCAAACATAAAAGATGAACCAGAACAGTAATGTCAACTATAGCCAAAAAAGAGATTCACGGAGAAAAGTTTCATTGCTGCAGAGAAAACAAATAAAAACCTAACACCAAAAACAAAACCCCTAAAACACTGAAGCTATTACCAGTGATCTAAACATAAAGAATTAATGGAACAGTGATCGAGACCAGACCACAAAGAAGAAATGAGTGCCTAAATAAAAAAGTAGAAAGAACCAGGCTTTTTCTGAACTCTGGGAATATATAAGTGAACAAAATAGAAAAGTAAGTCCCTATCCTCACGGAGCTTACATTCTAGTAGGGACAAGGTAGGAGGCAGACACACAAAGTAGGTAAGGGAGCAGATAGAGCTGTATCAGTCAGACAGCATAGTAATGAAAGAAACTGGAGGGCAGTCTGAGAAACCATCCAGGGTCCCAGTTCTGGTTGTTTCTTAGATTAGCAAATTGACCAGAGAGTGAAGAGAAGAAAATCAAGCTTGATGAACCATATCAAATAGGATGAACGCAGTAGACTGTACCTGGTTTGAGATGCTGGAAACTGCTGCTGCTGGAATATTGGCAATTGTAGATGAAGTGGATATCAGGCTGGCATTTGTGCTTGAAGCTATAGGATGGAGAGTGTGAAAGATGTTAAAAATATCATGTAAAAGCCTAGAAGAAATGGAAAACATATTGTGTCTTATGTAAACAGATCTACAAGGAGATAAAGAACATTGCACAAAGGAAACAAATACTGATTTTGCTCTTTTGCACGCCGTACTTTAATCTTGATTAGAAATAAAACAGTTCATTTTTCTGTTTCAACTTGAGTCTTCCACTCTTCCTATTGAAGTCCTAGGAAGGACATATGTACAATGCACTGGCTCATACTAATGAAATCAATGGAATCAGAAGCTAAACAAATCTCCAGTCTATCTTCTCAGCCCTTGAAAGATGACTCACCTGCAATGTGACCGACTGACAACCAGCAGAAACCACAAGAGCTCTGGTAAATCTGCATGTAAATCCTAGACTGGGATATTTGTTACCACTTGCCCCAAATGATGCCTCTCCTAATGCAACATAATTAACTTTGAGGAATAGAGCTGATTCCCCCAAACCTGCTTGGAGTTGCTTTTTGGGCTCTACTCAAATCATGAATTATTACTGTAGATCAATAAACATGATCTGGCATTTAATGATTTTACCAGTGAGCCTGGGAAAACCTGGAAAATATTAAATATTATTCTGGCCAGGTAACAATATACTCTGTAAGTTATTTAGCCTGCCTATCTTGGGACAAGGAATTTGGGCTAACTTTTTTCATATCCTTCTACCACAGACTCCACCAGGGTTTTAGTCAAATCTTCAGTGACTACTATTTGTTAAAGTGACTTTTTTCAGGTGAACCAGTGTAGTAACTGAGACTACAAGGTATTGGTCTTGAGCTGGTCCTTTCCCTCATTTATCACAAGCACACTTAGACCTGGTTCCCACTGCAGTCACTCATGCCATAAGGATTCATCATCAGGTAGACCTGACTATCTGACTACCTATCCCATTAGCAACAAAGTACTTTACAGGTAAAGTTAATAGGAAAACCTCCATTAAGAAGAGAACAGATGAACAAATGAAGCAGAAACATGAGAGTACTCATCAAAATCAGGGAAATCTTTATTCCTTTCCCCAAGGGTACTCTGCTTAGAAGAAAGTCTAGAAGAGATTAGAAGAGAAAACCCCAGCTTTCAGATGAATAACTTGGGACAAAGAAGAGTTAAGGTTATTTGTCTACTGTCATGGAACCAGTGGTAGTCACGATGGCATCTAAGATCTCCCAACTGGATGAGCCAGGGTTCAGATTTCCTGACAATCCAGGGAGATTTTTTCTACAATACTTCTTCTCCCAGGGGAACTACAGGACTCTTAAAAGAGTTTACTTTCTTAAACATAACAACCGAATGAAACAGATTTTATAACCTCATAGATGGTATTTTCTTCCTACCAATATTCATTTTCTTCTTTACCATGGCTTAACCCATTTCCCCCCCATGGGGAAGTACAAGGAATTACTGTACAATACACAGGCTTAGATGATTCTGTAAGTAGTTTTTAATCATTCTTGTGGGTAAAGATTTTGAGTGGCTTTCAGGTTTTATTACCAGTACATTATGCTAGGTAGCCAAGTAATAAAACACACAGGACATAAGGTGATTTAAGGTGGGAAAGAAAATGAATAATTTACTTAATCTCTTAAGTTTATTTCTCCTAGCAAAGTCCATTTCTAGCTCAATTTTTCATCGGTCTTTATTCTAGCATATAATCCTCTTTTCCTCCTATTTACCTTTAATTCTGTTCTACCTTCTTACTAACTTATAAATGGTTAGCAGTACAACCCATTCATATCTTCACATACATGGGGAAAAGGTACTCTGACTGACAAAGTGGTTTTATAAATTTAACAATTTTCAGACCACTTACTGAACTGGGCTAAAGGTAACAAGGTACACCTTATAAACAACTGGTCATATACTCTTATTATCTCCACTAGGAAGTTTAATGACTTGATTAGCTAGTTGCTGATACTGAATTTTTAATACATACCTTCCTAAAGATCACAAACTACTTTCAGCAATAGTGACTTCTATTACAGAAAATGTTGGCCTGCTGACCTAGAAAGTTTATAGGGTTCAGTAACACTTCCTTCTCTAATCCAATCAAATCCTTTCTCATATGTGCCATATTCATTCATTCAGCAAACCACGGTCTACTATGCACCCAGAAACTGTTCCAGTCACTGAGGAATAGAGCAGTGAACAAGGCAAAGTCCCCTGCTCTCATGGAGATCAGACTGCATTGATGGAGTGAGATAACAATTAAATACATAATTTTTTAGGCTCTTATAACCATCATTGCACCCAAGCCAAACTCACCTAAAAGGGCACACACATCACTGTATACCCTACCCTACACATAACTATGACTAAAAGTACTAATTAGTACTTATCATTCTGCCCATATATATATATACACACATATATATGTCTCAACAAATAATATTTGATTGCAGATTTAAGAAACAAAAGCAGCAGCAATAAAATTGCAACAAAACATACAAACTTAGAGGATCAAAGAAAACTCAAGTGGTCAATCCTACTGATACATATCTGAAGACTATCTGCTCTCCAAATGCGAATGGCACGCCCAACTGTTTTTGGATAGTCTCCACTCCTGTTCTGACAACGGAGCCATGAAATAATAGAAAAACAAAGCTTCTGAGAACCATGCCCCACTAGAGGTCCAATCAATACATACGAAAAGAGGAGACTCAGTAGTTTCCTCATAGGTGTGTTTTAAAAAACCATGCCCCAGTAGAGGTCCAAATAATATAGTCAATATACACAGACAGCTTTAATCAGAAGACGGTGGTTATAGCACTGTGAGAGGCACAGCCAAATTAAATGACACTGCCCCAAAGCCAGAAGGCTGACCTAAAGGTTAGTGGTATATATAAGTTGGCACAAGATTTACTTTTTACCCATGTCTTAACTTTATACATGTCTCCCTCTACCACCCTTGCCTACCTGGCTTTCAAGTTGTTCAAAGTAAGATGAGCTCTTTCTCACTTGAGCACCTTGGCAATGTTGCTTGCTCCGCCTGGATTGTTCTCCCTGGCCTGTCCCTCTTGCCCTCCCAGCATGATGGCTCATGCTCAGCACGTCTACTTCCTCAGAGGCATGCTCTTTGGCCCCTCTATTAAAACTAACTCCTTGGTGTGCCTGAGTGGCTCAGTCAGTCAAGCATCCGACTCTTGACTGGCTCAGGTCATGATCTCAGAGTCGTGAGATCAAGCCCTGCATCAGGCTCCACACTCAGCATGAAGCCTGCTTAAGATCCTCTCTCTCCATCTCTCTCTCCCCCTCCCCCCCCCCCCCCCCCCCCCCCCCCGCCTTCATCCTAATTAAAAAAAATAAATAAAAAAAAAAAAAAAAACTAATTCCTTGTTTTCCCAATCACAGCAACATGTTTTTTTTTCTTTCTGAGAACTTTTCAAAATCTATTTAATTATTTATTTGCTTGTTTTCTGTTTCTTCCACTCATCTGTAAGCTCCAAGAAGGCGGAATCTTACTATCTTATTCTTATCTCCAACATTTAGCAAAATACCTGGCACAGAGCAGGTGATGCTCAATAAATACTTGTGGGATTCATGTCTATCCTGTAGACAGGTATAGTCCTGTGTAACTTGTGGGACTCAAGTATAGCATGTCAAGGTCATCAAAAACAAAAAAACCCTGAAAAACTGCATAGTCAAGAGAAGCCCAAGTAGACATGACAATTAAATGAAATGTGGTATCCTGGATGGAATCCTGGAACAAAAAAAAGGACATCAGGTAAAAACTAAGGAACTATGAATAAACTATGGACTTAGGTAATAATAATGTACCAATATGGGCTCATTAATTGAAATAAATGTTCCATTCTAAATAAGACGTCAATAATAGGGGAAATTATATACAAGATGGGGGGATCTGTAACTCTCTGTACTGTCTTCTCAATTTGTCTATAAATCTGAAACTAATCTAAAAACTAATGTCTATTAAAAAACAGAACAAAACAAAACTCCTGATCAATGAAAGACTATAAAAAAAGACTATCATGTGCTACCAACAAAATTAAGCACAAACACATTCATTAAAAGTCAAGATTACGTTAAAATTAGTTTTGAAATTTCTGAAATTAATTTTACCACTTAAATATTAACCACTTAAACCATCACAACTGAAGAAAATAACCAGAGACTGGGCCACATATTTATACTGTAGGAAAAGATTGATATAAAGCAGTCAGATTTACTTAACCGAAGGGCTTTCATAAGCATTGCATAAACTGAAGAAAGGGCTTTGATCAGAGTTGATCAAGCCAGAAGTATAATTTTTTTTAGGTTGAAATTATACATTTTAAAGAAATTGCAATATGTTGACACATATTACATTAGCTTCAGGTGTACAACATAGTGATTTGACAACTCTAGATAACTCTATATATCAATTGTAGAATGCTTTGGGGTACGATGAGGAGACACTGCTATTTTGACCATTTTTCAAAAACTGATAGAATTCTTCTTGCTTTTCTTCCATGGAGGGACTGGATACAGGGGGAACAGAGCAGCCCTGGACAGCCATTCACTATCCATGCTAAGTAAAACTAAAGGTGGGAGAAAGGAGAGTGATATTGATAACAGACAACCTAGGTAATTTGATTCTGCCAATACTCATATTTCATTTTAGCCAATTGTTTCAATTTGTATTCTATCAATGTTTCTTTAGAATAAAGGCAAAAATTAATAACTTGATGGTTACCTTCGGCCTTAAATTCTACCCTCTGCCAAAGTTCTAACGAACAACAAAATGTGTCAAGAGGTTAACCAGAAAAGGGAGGAAAAATAAACTTACTTGTTTGTCCGTAAAGGTTCTCTCTTATGGGAGAGCTGATATTGACATCATGATTTCAATACCGAAAATCATAAATATTGCACTCATGCTCTGAGGTCTGACTGCCCAGCTTACATCCTGACTTAATTATTTACTAACTGGTAAATGGATCAAGCAGAAGTAGTTCTTAATCATTTAAATGAAAACAATTAAAACTGAGTAGCAAAATATTTTATTTGCTATAATCTATATCAAAACACTTTTTTATCACCAAAGTTCGTATCTTAAGAGTACCTCAGACCAGTTTTTGCTGTCCCATCCTCACTCCTCTAGCACCTATTTTATGAGGAATAAAATTTTAAAGCTGGGAGAAATCAGGAGAAAGGAGGCAGATGAGAAGCCAGATACATGGACATTAATTTCCAATCTGGAGCAATGACAAATTGCCTGTGTTAGATTTAGAAGGGCTGGGAATTAATCCCATAGTGCCTTCTGAATTTCTCTCTCTTTATTCCTAATAGTCCTGTCATAATTCTAACCTTTTAGAAGAACAACTCAGGAAGGCAAAGATGTTCAGAGTTCAAGCTTTAAGGATATGCTTTTTATCATGAAATAGAAACAAGACTGAACTTTTTGAGAAGGAAAAATGCTCTCACCAAGAAGCAGCAAGTGGGGGCGGAGGTATGACACCACTGCAGCAAAAAAAATGTAGCACACATCTCACTTCTGCCCTACCTGGACTTCACATAAAAGAAATCAGCAAAGTTCTGCCCCATGGGGAGTCTTCTGCTCATTTATAGGACAAAGTGCCACTGAGAACAGACTAAAACAAAATCAGACAGGTTTTCTGGACACCATGCAAAAGGAGAGGCTGAAGTTCTACGAATTACAATTCACATTTAAAGGCTAAACTACTTAGAAACCACAGTCCCAAATTCTGGGTGCCTAACACAAAAAGCATGCACAAGTGCAAATATCACCCCCTTCTGTTTTACAAGACAGTGCTCCTGTATTACCCAATTTGTTTGGAGATACAGATAGACTGAAAACAACAAAAACAACAATAATAAAACACACACAACCATGCCTATTTACCTTGAATGGGATAAGAATAATGTGCTGGGCTTGGCTGGCTTGTGGTTAACCCTGTAGTGCAGGTAAGAACACTGTGTTGACTTGGAGATGGAGTCTGAATTAAACCACTTTCAGGTTTCATACCTGGCCACAATGCACCTGAATCAGATAAATTGGACCAATTACAAACAATACACTGGGACTGAGGAGCATGGTTATGCTTTCAAATATCAGCCAGTAGGTTTAAAACCTAAATCTTAGAACAAAAATAAATTTGCTTGTAAGAGAAAATCACTGATTGTCCCACTCCTAATATACCACAAGCAAATACAGTTTCAAAAACTGGGGAGTGGGGCCACAGAAACAAAAATCTTGTCAAAATCCCCAATAATGATATGTATATAAGTTCATTTCAACGGTTGAGGAGATTGATCAGGGTTCAGGAAAAAAAAGCTACTGACACCCAACTGGAGTGTTTATTGTAGAGAGTGCCTGATGATCATGTACACTGACAAATCATTTATCCATTGTCAAGGTGGGAGACATTCCACATAAGTTTAAAATTCACTTACCCAGTAAACAAGCACCAAAACTTTCTAAAATGTATTGAGTACTTTTCTGCCTTCTTAAGCTGGTTGTTTTATTACCTGTTTCTTCTGATTAGGAAAGACATACTTGCTTATTTTTATAAATTAAAAATATTACAGAAATATATAACTTAGAAAAAATAAAGTCACATATAATCCCAGCATCCAGACTTAAGCACTATTAACAGTTTGCAGAAGTCACTTAGATTTCTTCTACATATTTACAAATCTTTTTTCTTTTTAATAAAAATGGGATATTATACATACTGTTCATAATTTGCTTTTCCACATAACACCTGTGAAAGACATCTTTCCATGTCTGAACACATAAATTTCTCATACTGATAGATATCATAGCTGTTCACTTTTATTTTATTTTTATCACAATGCTCCTGAGTGACAATCTTTTTCAAATAGATTTATATCCTTTCCTGCCTTCTCTGCAGGAAGGAAATAGTGAATGTACCTTTAGATTTTCTCAGAATTATTGTCACAAAGATTAATAGTGTGCTGTGCTATATATATATTACAGAGACACTCCCAGAGGTTACTGGAATATGTGAAGACATTTGCTTGGTACTAAATACAACTCAGTTATAGTTCTACATCATTTTGATTTTTTCTCTGTGACCTGTCTCTTGACAATCTCTTGCTTCTCACTTTACCTCCTTGTTCATTTGCAGTAAACTAGGAAACTATAAACGAAGTTTTGCTTCTACACGACAGCCTAAGGATGTCCTTTATGGTGAACAGTTTTAGTGGTAATTTTGGCTATGCAAAAATCTATCTATAAAAAATCTTACGGGGTGCCTGCGTGGCTCAGTCAGTTAAGTGTCTGCCTTTGGCTCAGGTCATGATCCCAGGGTCCTGGGTTTGAGGCCCACATCGTGCTCTTGGCTCAGCAGGGAATCTGCTTTTCCCTCCCTCTCTCTCAAATAAATAAATAAATAAATAAATACAATCTTTAAAAAAAAAAAAAGATCTTACTGTCTGGTTGTTCCTGTGTTCTGAATAGCTATGGCTGGTGGATCAGTGTAGCTGAAGCTAACAGGTCCAAGAAGGTTCATCAATCACATTCCAGGTAAGAAATCAATACCAAGGTCAGCCACAGCTCCAAATTCAGTATTAACTCATTTCATTTACTTCTAATCTGATATTGAATTTATAGAAATATAATGCACCGACAATAGGGCCCTCTGCTTCCTCAGGGCACTGAGATATCCAGGTACAACTCAGATCTGTAAAATTTGTTGATTACTAAATGGAAGGGAGCTGCAAAAATCTCAAATCGACATGGGATGTGGCAATTGCCTTGTCCCAAACTCTTAAAACATAAAAAAAAAGTCATATTCTTTTCTTACCTATTAAACATATGAAATAACTTATTTGAGGAAAATGAAGAATACCATCATCTACAGTATGCATTGGGAGGGTTGGCCCCTGTTCTGTGCTTAGTTTATTATTATTACCACAGCTAAAGCCCTAACTAAACCTAAATTTCAACACTAAAAATATTTGGAAATATTATTTTTTAACAGTTATGTGAAATTTGAATATCAGAGCCATGATTCTTTGTGGTTGAGTATCATTTTAGCAAACTGCCATTTCAATGTCACAATAACTTTCAGATTTATTGTAATCGATGTGATTTTTTTTTTTTTCTAAATAGCTTTTGAATCTGAGGTGTTGGATCTGTGAAAACATTCAGATTACACTGTACTAAAATACAATCTTATTCATGAGAATAGTATTCCCTGAAAATGTTTCACCAGTCTCATTATTTAGTAATGTAATTCAGTTTCAAAATGCAAAATGTCTATGAACTGGACCTTCTTATAAGGCCAAAAACCAGAGCAAAGTGTCCAAGGCAAATAGGAAAAGGACTATAGTAGTTTTGAATGTTTTTGACCAGAAACAAGAAGTTGGTATTTAAAATTACAATTATTTTACGATGAAGATAAGAATAAAAGACCACATGAACACTGCCTCTGGCATCACGGTAGCCTTGCTCTGAAAGCATGTAAGAATCTTCCTTTAAAAGTGCCCTTCCCAGAATTCCAAGTCACAGGCAGCATGACCAAATGGTCTGAGTATACCACAATCCTGCCCATAGCGAAGATGAAACCAAACACTGGTCTCCTGAGTCCCAGTCCACTGCTCTATCCCTACAACTACCAAGCTTATCGAGGCCTTTTAAGCCAAGGGCCTGATGTGGCACAATAGCTGGTCTAAGAATGGCAAATGAAGCCAGTCTCTGAGCTCTATCCTCTTACTGCCCCACACTGGGGTCTTATCACAAACTCTACCCAAGTTTCTCAGCACAAATACTTCATCTTTGGTTAGTCACTAACCAAACTAATCTGAGCACTTCCATTTATAGTAATATATATCAGAGTAGTGGATCTTTAGAGAAAAATTAATTTGGTTAGGAACTGAAGCACAAGCCAATGCTCAGGAAAAAACACATGAAAAATATCTTGGTTTGTTGATTCGATAGCTCACTGGGATGAGCTATTACAAATACTAAATAATTAATCTGAGATTTCCCTGTTATAAAATGAGTAGATGTATATTATAGAAAATGAAGAAAACATAGAAAGTAAAAAAAAAAAAAAAGTGCATAGTCTCCTTGCACAGAAAAAAAATACAGGCAGTTCTTGCTTTTGTAGAGGACTGTGTTACCAGAAACCAGCACGTAATGCAACTAAGTCCTTGCCTTGCATGGTTCCCTGATAACTGAGATCAAATCTATAATGCCTGTACAGCAACATGCGCATTTTTCTTCCAAATTATTCTTTATGTAGATATTTTTAAAAAAACACTAACTTGGCATATTATATTGCTTTTAATTTTACATACTGCTTTTAAATTAATAATAAACTTTTCTCAAGATGCTGAATATTCTTTAAGAATGTGAATTTATAAGAATATGATTTCTAACTTTCCCATTCTATAGATACACTGCAAATTTAACACATGGCTTTCAATTCAAAATGTAGGCTGTTTCCAATCTTTTGCTGTTATAAATAATGCTGTGATGAGTGTCTTATTTTGAAAATCCGTAGGTATCTCTAATTAGTTCCATAGGATAAATCCCTAGAAGTGGATTTGCTGGGGGAAATTGCATGAACATCCTTGAGGTTTTAGTATTACCAAATCTCCAACTCACATTAGAGTTCTTTCAAAAGAAGCCAGAATAGTGGCAGCTAAGGTGATCTTTTATGAGCTCCTAAAAATAAGTGGGTGCCCCTTTCCTCCCACATGTTCACTGAGATCACTGGAAATTAACCCTCCATTCCTCTTTCTGCCATTCCACTACATTTCTACAGAGCTCTTAAAAACAGTATGACCACTATTTCTTTACTTTTACATTACTCACATTACATGTGAGCATTACAGACTGCTCACAGTACAGGCCTCCTAGATTTCCTCTAGTTTTTTTTCTCCTTTCATCAAGAGGAGGAATATTTTTTAATTTCAAACTCAACTCTGAGACACAGACTAAATTTAGGAGCACTTCTGGAATTAAACAGATCCGGGTTCAATTCTAAACCCAGGCATTTCCTAATTGTATGACCTCAGGCTAATCATTTGATCCTTCTAAGCCTGTTTCCTCATCTATAAAAAGGGATAATGCTACTGCTTACTCCCGAGGGCTGTTCTAAGATTAAATAAGACAATAATGAAAAGTGTGAGGTACTTGTTCCCAGCATACTGCTTGGTATATAAAGCACTTCATAAACATTAGATATGAGAGATTTCCTGAAGCCCTGTGTACATCTGAAATGAAATACCAGACTAGCTAATCTAGTTTTAATGCTAATAGGCAGCACTAAGATAAAATTGCCAAATCTTCACAAGAAGAAAGAAACAGTATTTTCTACTTGAGTGAACACCCTTTTTAAAAAACTGGCCATATCTATAATTTTCTTAATAAATTCTGAGAATATGCCACATTTTTCATTCACATTACCCTAACCTAAATCTCCCTCCAGTAAGCTTCATATATTACTTAAGAGTCAGATTTAGCTGATTCTCTTTCTCTGAAATACTGAGAGAGGAATTTATGAAACAAGTCTCCCTCACTTCCAAATATTAAACAAAACCAGATTAATAAAAGAGCCTGCTATTACCAATACTTCTTTACAATATAAACAGTTTCAAGTTTTTACCAAGGACCTATTATACAGATTTTTTTTTCTTTAATACATGGGAAATGTAGTGATCATAAAAGATACCATAATATGCACATGGCACTGTGTTAGGTCTTCCATAATCTGAGATCAGAGATGTAATAGGAGTTTTATTCAATACGGAACAGCAGGAATGATCAACTGTTCAACAATGTCATAAAGAGCTCTGGGTTTGCTAACAATGAATTTCAACCAAAACAGAAGGCAAAAATCTAATATAAAAATACTTACTTTATACTTGCTAGCTTTTACTAGTCAGCTATTGAAAAATTAACTTTAACATATGCAAAAAGATATAATAAGCACAAACATATTCACGGACAGTTCCATTTCCAAAAGGATTGCTCAGTCACGGCTGGTTAAATATATAACAAATTTAAGATTTTAGTATACTGGCGGATACTGACAGGTGTGGAGGTATGGACATACAAATGGGGGAACAAGAGCATTTCTGTTTGTCTTCTTTCATGAAGTTATCAACCACCACTATCGTAAGGGCCTATTTAGCCAGAGCGATTCCATCTGGTTAAACAGTGATTTTGTTGTTTATGCAGTAAAACTTAAACTGACCCTGCCCCCCACCCCCCAGGGGAACTTACTTAAAAGCAAGTCCAGGAAACCAGGAGAATATGGTGGGCCAGTCCCTGATAACACAGCCCAAATATAAGGGGTGGGGGGTCAGGTCAGGTGGAGGTAACAGAGCCCGAATGCAGGGATGAGTTGGGCCAGGTGAAGACATCCAATCAGTAAAGCGAGCATACTGTCTCCCTAGCTACCAAGGAGTGTGGGCCCCACCTTTTGGGTGCCTTTTGGGCGCCAATCCTGACCAAGGTGGTAGGCTAGTTCAAATAGCTACTATGGGGTGAACTGTAATTCAATTGGCCACCCGTGTGTGACCTAGCATGACTGTGCAGCTTTCTCTGTGTGCTACAATCTCACTGGCCACCTGTGTGTGGCCAGGCTCAACCACATGGCCTTTGCTCTATAAAAGTTAGTCTGTGAGGCTGGGAGTGGTTGCCCTCTCTGTAAGAGGCGGCCTGAACGGTCGGTTTGATTCCCGATGCCTGGCACAAAATAAAGCTTTGCTTGACTTTCCCTTTGTATCAGTCTCGTTCCTTTGATTACGGACCCATCACTATCATTAAAACATAACTTCCCATTTTATTTCTAGTAGTTACCAGGAGCCAAGGCATATTAACAAGCCTAAACCTAAGAGAGCTGTCACTGTCACAAGGGACTAGTCAAATGGGCCAGGTAAAGCAAGAATGTAGAAACCAAAAGCAGGCAACACTAATACATCCAGAATCTATGGCGATCCGTTTAGAAGATCTTTCTAATTTCCAGTTAGTTTCAGTAAAGGCTACAGAGATAAAATTTTATTAACATGTTGCATATGTGAAAATAATACAGTACTCACTCAACTTTCTAACACTGGTTCTAGGAAACCAGGGAAGAGACAATAAAGCATACTGCAAATATCTATCAATTTACACAAAGAAAAATCAGCACAGATATTAAGTGCTCCCAGAGTCTCAAACTGACTTCCAGTAAATCAATCTAATTCACAGTTCATGTCCAACATACCTAACACCACAGAACAAACTACACACAAAGATAGGGCTATATAAAATTGGGGATTCTCCTCATTCTAAGATAACTTGTTAGTTCAGCAGAGCAACAACTGATCGGTTCAAGGCAGAGGGAGAAAAAGAGAGGGAGAAATTGACCAAAAAAAAAAAAAAAAGGAGAGTACACTATAAGGCATACTCTATCTGGATATTTAGATAACCAAGTTTTAGCAGGAAAATGAGTCATCTCAAAATATATTTATTATGCTTATCTAACCATGGTAATGTGTTTTGTATAAAGAAAGTAATAGTAATTCCTCAAAGAGTTTCCCCCAACACTTAAAGATTCCAAGCTTTACAGTCAAGATTTAGTACCTTTCTGGAAATAGCTAAATTTTGGCAGATACACAAATGAGCATTGAAAGTTATGATTTTATTTAATATGCATCAAACATACTGTTGGAAAGTTGCACACCCAACATCTATCACACTTGTAACTGAGTAGACATTCTATAAAGAACAACCCATCATCTTTCAGCTTCCTGATTAGCCATACTTGATATTTGGGGAAAGATCAAAGTTTCTAGGGAATAAAATCAACACTCTTAGAAACTGCTTATAATAGAATGCCTTACCGAAAGGAGGTAGTCCATATGTTTGGGTTGCCTGAGGGTAGACAGCATAGGGTTGAGACTGCTGTAGTGTCTGGTACGGAGTCTGCCCAGGGTAAGCAGTTTCTGACACAGGAACTGAGAGGATATGTGCATAAGGTCTATAAAAGTTCAAGAAAATAAAAACTTTCATATGTGATTTATTTTTAATGAGAAATAGAGGGAAGAGCTAATAACACTAAAAGCAAAAATCAGCAATGAGGAGACTAACCTTCCACATAAAATGTCTCTTACTATGGTCAGAAGGTAGAATTAATTTTTCCTTTCCAAGTTCTACTATCACTTAAGAAACATTTTTATGGGAAATTTAATAGTTCCAAGTATCCTCCCAATGTCCAATTACTATGCTACAACCATCTGTAATATGCTACATGCAAACTTGTAGATAAAATTTATCTACATATACAATGAACCCCTAAAGTAACAGAAAACTGGACAGAATGGGACTCACAATTGGCTCTTATTCTTCACCCAGCCCTCTGGGACAAACAAGTTCTAAGAGAGAGAGTAGGACTTGAGAGAGGGGTTAGGCTGGTAGAGAAAAGGCAAGCAACCACTACACATCAAAGAACGGGGAGTAGCGGTGGGCCCCAATATTCCCAGATCAAGCCTACAAATCAGGGGCTAGATAATAAAATCTGAGAAGTCCCAGACAGGACTCAGAATCTTCCCACTGATGTTTAAGCCAGAATATACTGTCACTAGTTGCAGCCAACCACATCAGGTTTAGCTAGGGAATTTGAATTCAGCAGTGAAACTTCTGGGACTTTAGCTAGAGGACCCAGTCATTTCATCCATGCAATAAAATGGTCCCACATTTTGTGCACTGAATTTTTAGATACCAGTTATTTTATTTGGTGAGTTATGGTATACTTACAACGCAAGCGTTTTGTGTACCACATAAATCTGAACAATAAAATACTGCGAGGAAGGAGAAAACATTTTTTTCAGCTTTGGGGGAAAGGAAAATGAAGGAAGGCTATAAAGAAGCAGTATGTGAGCTGAGCAGATAAGATGTGCAGAAATAAGAAAGAAAGGGCATTCAAGGAAAAGAGAAAAACTCTGGTAAAGGTACAGAAGAAGGCAAACAAGGGCTTAAGCCTATAAGAAGCAAAGATTATATCAAAGGACATACATGAAGTGAAGGGGAGTAGCAAAAGAAGGAAAGACAGCAAAGACCTTGAATTCCAGGCTGAGTTCAGAACAATCTGCAACAATCGGGAGTCACTAAAATTGTTGAGCAAAGAGTGACAAGATCAGAGCTGTTCTTGAATAAAGATTAATTTGACACTGCTTTATAAAATGGGTTAGAAGGGGGAGAAAGTTGAAGTAGAGGTCCAGTTAAAAAATAGCTATAATGCAATGATTCACGTAAGTGCTAAAGAGGTCTGAATTAAGACTGAATGTATAGCTAATAAGGTGTCCTGAATGCAACAGGTATGTAAATTATTTTTTGAATAGTCAGATGAATTTGAAATATGCCTCATGTTCACATCTTTTCTTCTTATCCAGATCTGAACCAAGAAATACCTCAGGTCATAGCTGTTAATCAACTCACAAGGGAATAATTTAAAATCTTAGTGACTTCAAATGGATTGATCTCCAGGTATGTTAAAGATCATAATATCCTTTTTTCCTGTAGTGTTTTTATAGCTCAAAGTTATTTTCTTATTTCCTTCACAATGATCCCAGAGAATAGGTTCAGTCATTTCACAGAAGGAAATCATGTGAAAATGACTGGGTCAAAGATGCTATTAGTGTTAAATATTAGATGAGAATTTGGATAACTTATTGAATTGACCTTTTTAGTTCTTTGTTAACTGATGAAAAATTCAAAAGGTATAAATGAGCACAAAAAGGGGGAAAAAATGCCAGTTTTCTTTTTATGAACCATCCCATAGGTATCAGTCACCTCTGTTACCAATTCCTTCAGGTGTTCTGCCTATGTAAGCACCTGGGCATACATCCAACCTCAATAAATACACTCATATGTATCTATCAATGTATGTACAGGTTCACCCTTTATCAACAGATGGTTGGTAGTCTGGCATACACCCAGTTCTGTACTGCTCATCTTGGAGATGATTAGCTTGTGGATCTTAAATGCTGATCTTACCTGTTGAAGGCCCAAAGCATGTTGCCTTTTAGTGACTTCAACCTGCTAAGCCTAACTTCAAGCCTAAATTCTACTTTGAGGACATTCCTAAAGCAAGAAACTGAACAGAGATTAGGCTGAGAAGTCCCACTAGGAGGCTGGCTTGAGCTGTGTTACTGATCTAGCAAGGCAGAGGAAAGAGAGAATGATCAGAGGTCAATCAGTGATATGCTTTGATCACGAAAAATATTTCTCATTTTCAGTGGCTATTCATTTACAGCAAGCTCCTGTGTAACAGTTATCTATTCCAGGCAACCATCTACTTTTCAAAAGCATGTTACAGAGACTCTACATTTAGAGGGAATAAAAAAATTAGAGTAGGGTCAGAAAACATGAGAGGTGAAATGAAGTTAAATGTCGACTTACTAAGTTAAATATCAAACTAAATTTTGAAATGAACCTAGAGAAAAGGCATATAGATTTTTTAAATAATTATTGAACTTACTTTGCAGAATACATTTGTGAGGTATAATCATTGGATGAGCGAGGGATGTAATCGGTGCATGTCATAACTGAAAGAAAGATATCATCAGGTAAAAAGTTAGAACATTTCAAAAATGAAATGAGAAAACTGCATATCTCACTGTAGAGTCTTTCAAACTAAATACCAGATTACAGATGGCACCTGAGAAATTTAAAAAGACTATGCAGTAGAAAATCCCTCTCTCTTATAGTAATGGGTTTAGAGACTTTTAGAGACAGTAGAAGAAGCCAGAATGTGGGGGGTTTGGGGAAGAGCTGAAGATTAGTACCAGTCGATCTCTATCTTTATCTGTTACTGATCTAAAGTCACAGATGAAGCAACACCCTAAGTTTTCACTGTGCTCAGAGGCAAACTTAAAAACCAAGATCCATATCTAAGAAATTGCATTCTATTTCGTTAGCTTATTCATTCTCTGGGTGTTTCCACTCATCTGAGTAAAAAGCTGTAAGAATGATTTGCAAGAAGACAGATTTGGGGTGGGAGTACCCAGTTTTATTAGAAAATTGTTGCTACTGCTGTGTACAGTGCAGCAAAAGATGCAAGTACACTTCCATACTACTACTTTTTCAGCTTTGTGGTGAAGGCTTTCAAGTCTGGCAAAGCAAAGACAGATCTGAGGAACTGATGTGATGCTCTGATGAACCATCAAGTAAAGAGACTTTCACAGCTAGGGTCCTCTTGACCCCTATGACTTCATCTGAAATAGATGCTGAGAAGGCTTAACCCTCATGACTTCATCTGTAAATATTCAACTCAAGTCTGATGGGTAGCGAAATCCTATTCATTACGCACTACTTCAGTCTATGCTGTAGACAGAGTTGTATCATAAAGAACTTGTACCAGATCCCTGAATTGTCCAAGAACTTCCTTCAGCATCTGAGAAGGAGGCTGTGGTTGTTCTACTATTAGTCGGGTTTTAGAGTAAACCAACTAACTTTACTTCTAGCTGGGTTTCCTGAGTGTCTGATCTACAAAGGGAACTCTGGTCAAGAGCACATGAGCTGCTGGCAATTCATGGCCAATAGTAAGACAAATCGACATCTTGTCCACTGCCATTGTTCAAGGTCTTTAAAAATAATTACTGGAAATCTGTAGATCACATTCATCCATAATAATTTTGACAAAAATGAAAGAGATCTCAATTAGGTCTAAAGGGTCTTCACGTCCATCACAGAAAACATAACTTCATTTGGATTCTGCATGAATCCAGTTCCTTCCCTGCTGACAACTACTTTAAAAAAAAAACCCAAACCCTTCTCCTCCTCTGATTTAATTTGAGAAGAGATTGACAAAACATCCTAGGAGATTTAGACCAATATTTACTGCTTTGTAGAATGAATAAGGCTTTATCTTTGCAGTACTTAGGAACCGTGAAAGGATTATAAACAGTCAAGGCATAATCTGCTGTAATATTAGAATAGCAGCAGTGAAGATGAGACACAACCTTAAAATACATTCTGAAGGTAAAGCAGGACATTCTGACGGATCTGTATGTAAGGACTGAGGAAAACAGGGGAATATGGGATAATTTCCAGCTTGAGCAACTGGAGGGATAGTGAAACCCCTTCCTAAAGATGGGGCAGTTTGGGAAAAGAAGAGATTTGATGGGGCTAAGGGAATAAAAAGCATTCCCACATTTTTTAAAAAGGATTTTATTTATTTGTCAGAGAGCGAAAGACAGCCCTCACGTCCACATAAGCAGAGAGAGCAGTAGGCAGAGAGAGAGGAACTTGATCCTAGGACCCTGGGATCATGACCTAAGCTGAAGGCAGACGTTTAATCCACTGAGCCACCCAGGTGTCCCAAAAGCTTTCCCATATTTTAAGTATGACTTTCCTTTCAGAAATGTAAGTTGTGGTGTCAAACAAGCAGGTGGATACACAAATGAAATCAGGGTAGAAGTCAAACTGGAAATGTAAATTTGGAATTCATCAACAATATATACAATATTTAAAGTAACGCAGTGGATGAAAGGATGCAGAAAGAGGAAAGAATGCTGGACTAGAAATAAATCCTGAGGCCTAACATTCAGAGTTCAGGCAGAGGAAGAAGGGCCAACAGAAGAGAAAGGTGGGAGGAAAAGTGGTGAGAGGCAGAATATGAGAAGAAACGTTCACTACAACTAGTCTTCTCAGAGTAACTGCAAGTAACTAATGACCTTGAGAGGAGCAATTCAGTGGAAGAGTGGTGACCGAAGTTAAACTTGAGAGGACTGAATAATGAATGGGAGGCAAGAAAACAAGAAAGCGCAACTCTTTCCAGAAGTTCCAATGGGTCATAGAACAGAGGAAAGGTCTATAACTGGTGGAGAATGTGGAGCCAAAGGAGGGTTTTGTTTCTGTTTTAAGATGGCAAATACTGTCATGTCTCTTTACTGACAGGAAAGATTAAGAAGAGAAGAAGAATTTGATGACACAGGCATGGTCTTAGTTAACAACAATACCAAAGCCCTTGGGGAAGGTGAGAAAGGGTTAGATATGGAGCCCAAATAAAAGGTCTTACTGTTGACAGGAGCACCATTTCTACAGACTAGGACTATTTTAGTCCTGGTAAGAATGAAGCAAGAAAACATGGGTACAAACACAGGTAGGCTTGAAGATTTGGTGGTGGTGGGAGGATAAGGGTTATTTTTTGTCTGGTAAGTTCTATTTGCAATGGAGCCATCGGTTAAGAATGAGGAAAGGTGAGTGAGGATATGGTATTCTGTGAAATATCAAAAGGTAAAATTCATTAGCAAAATGTAGTAGGATTTCCAAACATGCTGGGTGCCTATTTGAGGCCTTGTGAGTCAGCCAGGTAGATAATTTATCCAATAATGTTTAGCTATGTGAATGCACTTAAAGGGAAGATGGAGAGTTGTATTAAATTAGGACTGGGGTTTAGCAAGGAGAGTACAAGAGGCAAAGGTATTGAAGGTATTTATAAGGGAACAATTATAATAAAGAGCCATAGAATCCATGCGGAGTGAAAAGGGACATAAAGGCAGACAGATATGATGACAGGTATTGGATAGGTCATTTACATGGATTTTGAAATCATCAAGAATAGTAAGAGTTTGGATGGAGAAGAAAACAAAGAAGACCTAGTCTTTAAAGAGCAAAATGACTAGTAGTTCAGTTTAGGGTAAAAAGAAAGGCAAGGGAGGCATAAATATGTACTTCAAAGGAACTGGAGTTTTCGAAGGGGAAAAAGAGAAAGAAATATCTGGAAGGAGCAAGAAGACTCAACTTACTTCTTGGCCCTGGAATATATTTAAAAAATAGGGTTTTTTTCTTGGGGATGAGTGGGACATCAAAAAAAATCAGAAACTTTTCACGGATTAGAGCAGTTCCCACAGTGTGGGCAGTTTCTCATATGCATCAGAATCACCTATCTTCTTATACATTCCAATCCACATCAGATCTATTGAATGATAATCTCTGAAAATGAGGCCAAAATTCTACATTATAAACAAGCATTCCAGATTCTTAAGTACTGTAAGAGCTGGAGAACCACTAGACTAGTACCTTTGAGGAAATAATATACAGAGTTCAAGATATACTATTTCCTTCCTTTTTTTTTTTTTAAAGACATCATTTTCTAATACATGGAAGTATGTCAAGTTAAGCATAACCACCTTAAGAGAAGAAAAAATCCCCTAAACAAGTGTCTTTTAAAAAAGTGTCTTATACAAATTTATTCTTTTAAAGTACGTGGTAAAATATGGAGGGGCACTGATATTTAATTTCAGGGATGACTATTTGTCCTGTGGAGGCAACCTGGGGGCATATGTGGGTATGCTAGAGAAAACTTACATCTTCGCAAAAAAAGAAAACAACCAAACAAACAAAAAACCCCAACCAAACAAACCCAGAACACTCTATAAAATTTTGTCCATTATAAATTTATCTTTTCTATAGGAGAAAGCAGGTTGGTAAGTGGAGGATGTATCTTATTGGGGTGGATCTCCCCCAGCGTCCAGTATCAATTCTGGGCTCTTTTTTTTTTTGAAGATTTTATTTATTTATTTGTCAGAGAGAGAGATAGAGAGAGAGCACAAGCCGGGGGCGCAGAGGGCTGAGGGAGAAGCAGGCTCGCTGCTGAGCAAGGAGCCAGATGTGGGACTCAATCCCAGGACCCTGGGATCATGACCCAAACCACAGGCAGACGTGTAACCAACTGAGCCACCCAGGCGTCCTTCAATTTGGGGCTCTTAAGGGGATTACTTTTCTTTTTGGCACAGATGGATAGGTAGAGTCATTTGGTTGTTAGAAAGGTGGAGAAACAGCAATGTCTTTGGAGGAGCAGTCAGAGGTTGGCCCATAAACTTTTCTGATTGCAAGGAAGGCAGTATTACTTCCAGAACATCAACTTCAAAACAAAACAAAAATAAAATCACCAAGTGTGACTCCTCAGGTAAATGGATTCCATGCGATTTTCTTCCTCAGCTGGTATGTCAAATATATGAGAACACAAGGATGAAAACACACACACACACACACACACACACACACACACACACACGGACAGGAAAGGCTTCTGGATATAAGAAACAAACAAGGCAATCAGTGAAAACCAATTATAGAAGAATAGCATCATCCATCTATAAGAATACCTCTTTCATCGTGCACAGAATACAGTACTTACTTTCTTCTGACATGGTAAGGTTTGAAGCAAGGCTTGAAGTTTCAGGTTTCTGATCACTGACTTCAGGGCTGCTCACTTGACTGAGAGAACCAAAATGAAAACATTAGCCCCTCATGGACTTGATGTGTTGCTAAAAGTGATTTCATCAAACCCATTTCTCTTCCTACGCTACACAAGTAAGAGGCAAAGTAAGTCTTCATGGTATCATTATTCTTGGTTTTTAGCAGCTACCTGGAGGTAGGGCTGGGGCTGGTACCTTCAGCATTTCACTCTTCCTTCTCACATCCCAAGACTCCTTCTGTTTTCCTATCACTCAGAAATTCCAGCTAAGTCAGAGATAAGTCAGAGTTTTTCTAAAGAACTTGGGGTAAAAAAGAAAAAAAAAAAAAACCCAACCAAAAAATAAGCAAACAAACCAAACTTCGCTGTCACTTTGTTTCCAAAGTTCCAGAGTAAAATGGGGAGATTCCTGATTTCAGACAGTGGTTCTCATAGTTACTTGAGAATTTTTTTCAAATTATACATGCTTGCTTCCAAGAAGGGGGTTCTGAACCTTAAAATGGCTCATTTTATTGTATTTCTCTTTTTTCTCCAATTAAAAAAAATTTTTTTTAAAGATTTTATTCATTTATTTGACAGAAAGAGATCACAAGTAGACAGAGAGGCAGGCAGAGAGAGAGGAAGGGAGGCAGGTTCCCTGCCGAGCAGAGAGCCCGACTCGGGGCTCGATCCCAGGACCCTGGGATCACGACCTGAGCCAAAGGCAGAGGCTTTAACCCGCTGAGCCACCCAGGCGCCCCATCCAATTAAAATTTTTTTTAAAAATTTGCTATCATATCCCCTGAGCAGTATCTTTTTTTAAGTTATAAGGAGAATTCAGATAAATTCCAAAAGGTAAATCACATAAACTGGGAGAACAAATCATTAGGTTAGACACTTTAATGGCAAAATTCTCACTGAAATTCTGGAATGGAGATTTTACTAACTTTCACCCCTCACAGTGTCCTCCCTCTTCCTTTCTATCTTCCTTTCTACTCTCTGGTTATTCTTTCAGTTACCAGCATAGCATAGTGGCCAGATTGCTTGCATTCATATTATACTCTGCCAAAACTAGCTTAAAGACTTTGAGCTAAACTTCTTTGTACCCTGCTTTCAGCTGTCAAAGAGGGACAAAAACAGAGCCTAACACATAGGGTTGTTACATGGATTAGTGAGTTAATATATGAAAAGTACTCAGAGACTAGAAGAGAGTAAATGTAATATAACCATAGCCATTATTATATTATAACTTCACCCTAGCCCAGGCATCCTTCCCACATTCATTTTCCTTAGAAAGAAATCTGCTCTGCTATTTTATACTCTAGGGAGAAGTGGACAACACCATACCACAGACTCCACATATCTTCAAAGATGAGACTAATAAAAGGTAAGAGTAGTTTCTACACAGCAAAATTTTTAAAAGAAATGTTACTTATATAAAAAGTACACAGCATCAAAATCCTTAAAGCTCTCATATTTTTTCTGAATGGACCTCTAACATTCAAGTGAGAAATCAAGATTTTTTTTCCCCTGGTATATTCCGAATTTTCAAACAGTTTTTCCTCAGATATAATTAACTTTTATTTTTTTAATGTTTATTTATTTACTTTAGTAATCATTACACCCAGCAGGGATTTGAACTCATAACTCCGAGATCAAGAGTTGCACGCTCATCTGACTGAACCAGCCAGGTGTCCCTATAATTAACTTTTATTTATTTTTCTTTCTTTCTTTCTTTCTTTTTAAAGATTTTATTTATTTGACAGCGACATAGGAGAGAGGGAACACAAGCTAGGGGAGTGGGAGAGTGAGAAGTCTCCCCGCTGAGCAAGGAGCCCGATGTGGGGCTCAATTCCAGGACCCTGAGAACATGACCTGAGCCCAAGGCAGACGATTAAGGACTGAGACACCCAGACGCCCCTTATTTTTCTTAAGTAGGCTCCATGCCCAATCTGGGGTGTGAACTCATGAACCTGAGATCAAGAGTCACATGCTCTACCAACTGAGCCAGCTAGGCACCTCTGTAATTAATTTTTAAAGCTAAATGCCCAGGTGAAGTTTATCTATTTACTCAAATGCATATATTTTTGGAATAGCATTTAATGTACTAACCAAGGTGTGACTATGGGAATTGAAGAGTAAGGGGAAGAAACCATACTGACCGGTTATATCAATGTTTCCCAAACTTGTCTATTATTATAATTACCTAAATAATTGGTAAAAATACAGACTTCTAGTCATGCCTACTTAAACAGGATTCCCAGGAGATGGGTATAAAACTAGACAAGAACTTCATATTCCAACTACAATGACTGTTTTGTCTCCTATGTATACCTGGATAAGTCTGGGGTTCACTGTTATACCCACTGATGAAAGACTATTTCTAGACCCTGTAACTTAGAAGGTCTATTCGTATAATCTGGTATACGATGGTATAAAGACCTATGGTTCTAGAATCTTATGTTATAGCAAAATCCCCTACATATTCAACTAACTGTTTAGAGATTCAACAGAAGCAAGAGTGTTAATGGGACACCTAGGGGGCTCAGTCAGTTCAGCATCTGACTCTTGATTTCAAGAGAATATTGTAGAGAAGCAGATAAATGGGTAGATTTGGTCAAAACAGAAGTAGATAAATGGGTAGATTTGGTCAAATCAAATTTGGTAGATTTGGTGACAGGCAAACAAGGCAGTATCAAACTGTTTCTAATTTCTCTTTGAAATTAGGGAGAACAAGATCCCCAGCTGAGTGAATGGGAACAGAGTGGAGGGGAGGTAAGATGAAAGGAAGGGGAGGAACCAGGAGGTAAGGAGGAAGGGAGGGGAAGAAAGTTAATTTTAGAGGCTAGAAAATAAAACACACCGGGAAGGGTAGATGGACCACCAAGAATCTTTAAGTGCCCATTTGAGATGCAATTATAAATGAAAACAGATCAGTACAGTTTTGTGTTTTTCCATCACAGAGTTCAGGTGATTGGAAATAAGCATGGAATGGGTGGATAGTTGGGTTTGACCAGGGTTGTGGTTTTGCTAAGGAAGCATGCCACAGGGGAAAAGGAGAAGTTAAAAGGAGAAGTCCCTCACAAAATGTTTGTAAGGGACTGATTAAATTAATAGATCTTATCATTTAAACAGCATAAGAAAGATATGGAAGTCTTTTTCCTGTGGGAGGGGTCAATGGTTAAGGTGAAAATATGACAGCTCATGTAATGGGAAGTGCATAGGAAGATATCATATGGGAGTGTGGGAGTAGCTACATGAGCTAGAATGCAGTGTGTGGTACTAAAATAGTCAGGTTCTGGAAATTAAGATGTTAGAGGTGATGTAGTTACTGGTTCACAGACAAACAACAGGAAGTAAGAACTGTAGAAAGCAGAAAACCATGGCATTGCGGAAGTGAGAGCATTAGGTGCAAAGAAGCTGCCTTTTGTCCAAGAGGGAGTGGAGCTAATGACTAAGGCATCCCATATCCATTTGGTAATTAACACCAAATCCCTTGCATTTCCCTTATTTCTGCTTATTCTTCCCATTCTGTTTATTGTACATCTGACTGGAGAATATATACTGTTATGTCTCTTCCATATATCATAGGACCTGGTAGATAACATGAGTTCAGTACATATTACTGAATAAATAATGAATGAATAAGAAAATATCAGTGCTTATTTGTTTCAAGGACAAACTACTGGAAGGAAATTTTCATCTTAAACCAAGTAATTTCAAAACATAAAGTCTGATGGGGCGCCTGGGTGGCTCAGTGGGTTAAAGCCTCTGCCTTCAGTTCAGGTCATGATCCCAGGATTCTGGGATCATATTGGGCTCTCTGCTCAGCAGGGAGCCTGCTTCCCTTCCTCTCTCTCTGCCTGCTTCTCTGCCTACTTGTGATCTCTGTCAAATAAATAGATAAAATCTTTAAAAAAAACAAAAACAAAAACCAAAGTCTGAGATGCTAAAATTAAAAAAGAGAGTAGTCAACCCAAAACACGCCCCTATACTAATCAGCATATACTAAAAAGGACTGTAAGTAGATCATTAAAAAGAAATTCAACTTTACATACCTTAAAGTTTGCTCTCCTGATTCCTGCATCTTGGCTTTTTTTACCTGCAAAAATAATTATACAAAGACATCAATATAGTGATCTGCTCTTGAAATCATCAAGCCATTCAAATGGCAGGCTAATATTAACTAATAAATTACAAGGTAACTGTTTCATTTTGTTTTGCTTCGATTTATTTAATTAACCTTTGTTCTATTTTAGTTAGAGATGGACTTGGTTTTCACATGAGCTCTTTTCTTTTTAATGAAAAAAGTGTTTTTCAGGTTCAAGGTAAAATATTTACCAGATTTTTACTCAAGATAAAATGTTTATCAGAGGGGCGCCTGGGTGGCTCAGTCAGTTAAGCGTATGCCTTTGGCTTGGGTCATGATCCCAGGGTCCTGGGATTGAGCTCCGCATCAGGCTCCCTGCTCAGTAGGGAGCCTGGTTGTGCTCGTTTGTGTGCACACACACTCTCTCTCTCTCTTCCAAATAAATAAAATAAATAAAAATCTTTACAAAAATTTTTATCAGAATCAAATATCCAAACTTGGATACAAACTAATTGGTTTTAAATTTTAACAGACACATAATTATATTATCCAACAGTAATTGTGGCAATTTCAATATCATCTACTCATTAACTTATTAAATAGGAATGACTTTAATTTTTTAAAAAAAGATTTTACTTATTTATTTATTTTGAGAGAGAGGGAAGGAGGAGATGGGGGAGGTGGGCAGAGGGGAAGGGAAAGGGAAACTCAAGCGGAGTGCTGACCTCGATCCCATGACCCATGAGATCACAACCTGAGCCAAAACTAAGAGTCAGATGCTTAACCAACTGAGACACCCAAGAGCCCCAGGTTATGAGCAATTTTAAAAATATTCTGCATGCTATCATTTTATTCCAGATTTTTGTCTTTTCTAATTCCTTCTGAGCTGAAAGCATTTCCACTGAAATAGTTAAGAATCCACAAACAGAAGATCAACATTTAACACTGCTAGTGGATTTCCCTGCTTTCATATTACAAAGAAGCTGATTTTAGAGCTCTCGATTAGAATAACTAGTCATAGTAGAAACATGCTTAGTATGCTTAGCCATACAAAATTATAGGTCCTTCAAAGTATTTCAAGCCAACAAAAGGCAGAAACACTGTTAAATAATTTTAAACAAAAATATCAGGTGGGAATATATCTATTTAATATGAATATTTAATATGAATAAATTTAACATCTCAGACATTATTTCCCTTGATTCAGGTAATTATGTCCCCCTGTAAATCAGGACACATGTGCCACCTTGGCACTAAAGGCAGGTAAATGAACTCAAAGGATACAGACAAACTTCACAAGTATGGATTCAAACAATATAATCCAGAAACTGATAGAATGTAAGATAGTATAGTTACTTTGGTAAACAGTCTAGCAGTTCCTTAGATAAGGTAAATAATAAATAAAAGATAAATACAAGGCCCGTAACATTTCTCATGGACATCTATTCCTCATGAGAAAACATGACAAAATAAATAAAACCACTCTTGGTTTCTTGCTTATGGCATACCAACACACGTTATTATTTACTGCTACTTTAATTTTCATAGGTAAATAAAGAGAAAATCAAGAAAAGGGGGGCATTAAAAAAAACCCTTGGGGTGTCTGGGTGGCATAGTTGGCTGGCTGTCCAATTCCTGGTTTTGGCTCAGGTCGTGAACTCAGGGTAATGGGATCAAGTCCCACAGCAGGCTCCGTGTTCACCGCCCCTCCACTCTGGCTTCTCCCACTCATGCACTCTCTCTCTCTCCTTCTCTATCTCTCTGTCTAAAATAAAGAAATCTTTAAAAAAAAAAAAACAACCCTCTAAGAAAAACGGGCACACCATAGGGCATATAGACAATTGCACTGCAATAGCATTGTATGGTCACAGATGGCAGCTACACTTGGGGTGAGCACAGCACAACATAGAGTAGATAAATCACTACGTTCATCTGAAATTAATGTAACATGATGTGTCACTAAAAAAAATTTTTTTTAATCCTATAAATTTAAAAAAATTACAGAAGCATATGAAGAAAAACAAAAACCTTTGAGGCAGATAAATTCTTACTAGGCATATTGAATTCCAAATCCATAAAATAAAAAACAGATTTGATATTACAAAATTCAAAACTTCTATGTGATTAAAAGATACCATAAACCAACCAGGAGATCGAATACTCCTAGAATAATATATGGACTTTGACAAAAGCATTTAACTTATTATAACTGTATTATGTAACCCCACTGAAAGGGGTGGGACATAAAGGAGCTACTTAAGATAATAATGGATGACATTGTGGCTGGAAATTGCAAGGTTAGACATTAAGGAAAATAAAATTATCTAGTTTATTTGCCTGCCATAATTTCACAAATGACAAAATATATGCTTTTGTCATAAAATGTGCTGCCCTTCCCACCTAAAGATGATAGTATTTACATTAGGTCAGATGATAATGTAATTTTCCAACAGTGGGGATGAATTTATGCTTAGCTCACTCTAAGACTCTTTATGACCAAAGAAATGTATCTGTGACCTGGTAACCAAAACACTCTATATAGTTTTAAATCATCCATACAAAGAAAACTGGAGCACTGAGGAATCTAACTTATCATAATCTTAATTTTATTAGAACCACAGAATAACAAATTAAGTTAAAAAAAAAAAAAAGAAATTCCAAAAAAAGAAAAGGGAAGAGTGCCTAGGTGGCTCAGTGAGTTAAGCCTCTGCCTTCCACTCAGGTCATGATCCTCACGTCATGATTGCAGGGTCTTGGGATGGAGTCCTGCATTGGACTTTCTGCTCAGCAGGGAACCTGCTTCCTCCTCTCTCTCTGCCTACCTCTCTGGCTACTTGTGATCTCTGTCTGTCAAATAAATAAACAAAATCATTAAAAAAAAAAAAAGGGAACTGGAGCAAAAATTTATTTTTATAATTAAAAATTTTTAATAATTATATAACATTTTATATAAAAATAAATTTTTATACAAAAATATAAATTTTTATAATTAAATTTTATAATTAAAAATTATACCAGAGGGCCTTTAAAAATTATTATTATTTTTCTGGGGCGCCTGGGTGGCTCAGTGGGTTAAAGCCTCTGCCTTTGGCTCAGGTCATGATCCCAGGGTCCTGGGATTGAGCCCCACATCAGGCTCTCTGCTCGGAGGGGAGCCTGCTTTCTCCTCTCTCTCTCTGCTTGCCTCTCTGCCTATTTGTGATCTCTGTCAAATAAATAAATAAAATCTTTTAAAAAATAAATAAAACAAAATAATTATTATTTTTAAAGGTTTTTTGGTTTTTTTTTTTTTTTTTGGAGAGAGAAAGACCAAGAGAGAGCATAAGTGGAGAGCCGACAGAGGGAGAAGCAGATTCCCGCTGAGCAGGGAAGCCCAACGTGGGGCTCCATCCCAGGACCCCAGGATCATGACCTGAGCTGAAGGCAGCCACTTAACCAACAGAGCCACCCAGGCACCCACACCATAAGGCCTTTCAAATTTTATTTTACTTTTTATTTAGTACAGTGCCAACCCAGTACAAAGTATAAGTAATACTAGAAATGGAGAAAATGTACCTAAAATCATATCTACCAAACAAAAAAAGTTTGGGGGGAAGAAAATGTTATTATCACAGCTAATTTTTTATTTTTTTATAAACATATAATGTATTATTAGCCCCAGGGCTACAGGTCTGTGAACTGCCAGGTTTACACACTTCACAGCACTCACCATAGCACATACCCTCCCCAATGTCCATAACCCCACCACCCTCTCCCTATGCCCCTCCCCACCCAGCAACCCTCAGTTTGTTTTGTGAGATTAAGAGTCTCTTATGGTTTGTCTCCCTCCTGATCCCATCTTGTTTCATTTATTCTTTCCCTACCCCCCAAACGCCCCACATTGCATCTCCACTTCCTCATATCAGGGAAATCATATGATAGTTGTCTTTCTCCGACTGACTTATTTCGCTAAGCATAATACCCTCTAGTTCCATCCACGCCGTCGCAAACGGCAAGATTTCATTTCTTTTAATGGCTGCATAGTATTCCATTGTGTATATATATACACGACATCCTCTTTATCCATTCATCTGTTGATGGACATCTAGGTTCTTTCCATAGTTTGGCTATTGTGGACATTGCTGCTATGAACATTCGGGTGCACGTGCCCCTTGAGATCACTACGTTTGTGTCTTTAGGGTAAATACCCAGTAGTGCAATTGCTGGGTCATAGGGTAGCTCTATTTTCAACTTTTTGAGGAACCTCCATGCGTTTTCCAGAGTGGTTGCACCAGCTTGCATTCCCACCAACAGTGTAGGAGGGTTCCCCTTTCTCCGCATCCTCGCCAGCATCTGTCATTTCCTGGCTTGTTAATTTTATCCATTCTGACTGGTGTGAGGTGGTATCTCATTGTGGTTTTGATTTGTATTTCCCTGATGCCGAGTGAAGTATCACAGCTAATTTTTTACCTTTCATGTCCCATTATTTGCCTTGACTTGGGCAATTATGCTCTTCTATAAATCAAACATAGAAAACATGCACTGCCTTGGTACCCCAGGAAGGTAAACTAACTCAAAAGGATACAGACAGATTTCACTGGATTACAGAAGTATGGGTTGAAACAATACAATCCAGAAATCAATAGAATGTAAAATAGTGTAGCTACCTTGGAAAACAGTTTAGTAGTTCCTCAAATGGTTAAATATAGAATTACCATATAACCCAGCCATTTGATTCCTAGCTATATAACCAAGAGAAATGAAAACATATGTCCATAGATGTTCGTAACAGCATTTTTAAAAAAGATTATTTACTTATTTATTTATTTGACAGAGAGAGATCACAAATAGGCAGAGAGGCAGGCAGAGAGAGACGAAGGGAAGCAGACTCCCTGCTGAGCAGAGAGCCCGATGTGGGATTCGATCCCAGGACCCTAGGATCATGACCTGAGCCAAAGGCAGAGGCTTTAGCCCAGGGAGCCACCCAGGCGCCCCGTTCATAATAGCATTATTCAAAATACCCCAAAAGTAAAAACAACATGAATGAATGGATAAATGGATAAAATGATAAAATAATGATAAATTAAATGATGACTCATAAATTTTAAAAATCCATAAAATATTATTTAGCAATAAAAGGGAATGAAGTACTGAGACATGTTTCAAAGTAAATGAACCGTGTGAAAAGACTAGGCTAAGTGGAGGAAGCCGGTCACAAAGAATCACAAACTGTATGATTCCATTTACATGAAATGTCCACAAATCAGTAAATTTTTAGACAGAAATTAGATTAGCAGTTGCCTAGGGCTGCAGGGGATAGGGGAATTGGGGGGTGACTGCTAATGGGTATGGAGCTTCTTTTGGGAATGATGAAAATGTTTTAAAATGGATTCTGGTGATGACTGAAAAACACTGTGACTATACTAAAAACCACTGAATTGCATTTTAAAAAGAATATGTGAATTATATCTCAAACCTGTTATTTTAAAAAATGACATCATCTTATGGGCATGTTATGACTAAAGATAACACAAAAAGAAGAACCACTGACAAATTTGTGAATCAGGTTTCTATTTGTGCCTCTGCTTAAAAAAAAAAAATTATGCTTTTAACATAACAGAGCAAGGGAATACTAGTAACACAGTACATGAATTCAGAATATCCATGTTCTGTGGATGACTCTGTGATTTTTCAGATGATCGATGCTGGCTCTCTGCACTGACATCTCAAAGTTTTAGGTTTACGAGATAAAACTGCTACAAGTCTGGAGGAACAGAACTCATTAGAAATAACTTGGGTCCTTGCTTATACACACAGGAATAAAAATATTTTTTAAAAAAATTGAGGTATGCTGGGGCACCTGGGTGGCTCAGTGGGTTAAAGCCTCTGCCTTCAGCTCAGGTCATGATCCCAGGGTCCTGGCTCCCTGCTGAGCAGAGAGCCAGGTTTCCCCCCCTCCATCTGCCTGCTGCTCTGCCTACTTGAGATCTCTCTGTCAAAAAAAAAAAAACAAAATCTAAAAAAAAAAAAAAAAGAAAGAAAGAAAAAAAAGAAACAAGAAAGGGATAATTCAGTAGGAAGGAAACAAGACGAGCTAATGAGAGTAACATAACTCCAGCTAATAATGCCCACCAGCAACATCTCTCTATGTATATAGGTAACGGTAGGGTTAAAATTCTCGGTTTTATTTATTATCATCAACTTGGGATAGAACCACTTTTTCTACTCAAATTTTAGACCTCTACTACAGCCTGTGAATACTTTTCTCCTCAAAGTACAATATTTACTCTTCCTACTCTATTTTTAACAGTTCATAAATATTCATGTTTTTTAAAAAAATTCATGTTTTCTTAGACTCTGTATTTGTCTATTTGGCATCCATTCATCATAGGGACAAACTATAGACCAAAGCTGTGTACATCTCCCTTGTGATGCAGGGCCCATACTCTGATCCATCTCCTTTCCAACATACACACCAAGTCAGTATTTCCCCTGCTCTAATCATCCCACCCAGAGGCAGATACCAGACACCTACTGACAGCCGCAATGCCCCAAAAGCCCTTGGAAATTATTCAAACAAACTAAACCTTGTTTACCTTCCCTTGCCTGTGGTAACCCCAATAAGGCCCGTGGCCTATGCATTCCCGTTGCTCCTTCCTGCCTCCTAACTGACTGGTGCTTTTCCCTCTGGCCCTGGGTGGTGTGCCATGCTTTCCATATCTAAGGACTATGAGTAACATTAAACTTTTCTTTCAGTGGCACTGACCCCCCCATGTCGTCACTCAGTTACCTTTATAAATTAAGACTCGGGCACAAATCAAAATAAATGACACCCTGTGACAATTACCATTTACAGTCAGTAGAAAATTTGTTTTTAAAATGCTTTAATTTTTAAAAAATGCTTTAATTTCTCACCTTCTTAAGTAACAGTCAGGTTTTGCACATTGTGTTATAGAAATTGAACAGAACAGCAGGGAAATGAAGCAGAGCAGAAAAGATGACTCACCAGCAGGTCAGCCTCACAATTCTCATTACCTTCAATAAATACGGAGTAACTAATAATACCCATTTCAATAGTGTGTCAGCACATAAGTCTTGAAACTAGACCTCCTGACTAGACTTCTGTCTTGCTACAGAAAAACTCAATGACATAATTTTCTTTGGCATACTTAATGCCTCTAATTCAGCTATGTGTTCTCATAGTATATATCCTAGAACACTGCTAAGGATGATTTTTAGTTCTACCATTTCCCTGATTATCTACCATTATCCCTGATGGGTCAGGGATAAGGGATGACACTTCCTATGTTTCAAGGTCATTTTACCAATTGCTTATGTCTTTCTAGTTTTATTTATTAAAAAAGATTTTCTTTATTTGTCAGAGAGCGAGAGAAAGAGCAGCAAGCAGAGCGAGAAGCAGACTTCCTACTGAGCAGGGAGCCTGATTCAGGACTTGATCCCAAGATTCTCGGATTGTGGCCTGAGCCGAAAGCAGATGCTTAACCAACTGAGCCACCCAGGCGTCCTGCTCTTTCTAGTTTTATACTTACCTTAAGAAAGAGGGCTAAAAGAATAATGGCAAAGTAATCATTAGCATGTACTCTCAATGTAAAAACAAATATTAAAAATGTATTAAAGGACTTGATGCAAGCCGGTACCCATCCTTCTGTGATATAAAGAATACATCTAGAACATGAAAAACATGCCCTATCATCTGCTTTCAAAACTCAATTTTTTTCCAAGTTGGATTTTCATAAATGTAAACATATTATTATTCTACATTCTTTCTTACTATGAAATGCAAGAGGCTCATTCAGGATAGTAAATTGCCTTAGAATTTATCTAACTTCAGAAAGAGAAACAACACAAAAGGAAAAGATTCTTTAATATAAAAGTATCTTGAGGGGCGCCTGGGTGTCTCAGTCATTGAGCATCTGCCTTCAGCTCAGGTCATGATCCCAGGGTCCTGTAATTGAGCCCCACATTGGGCTCGCTGCTTAGCGGAGGCCTGCTTCTCCCTCTCCCTCTCCCCTGGCTTGTGTTCCCTTTCTCGCTGTATCTCTGTCAAATAAATAAATAAAATCTTAAAAAGAAAAAAAAAAGTATCTCGAAAGAATGATTACTATTGTTTTCCTATTATATTTTATTTATTTTTTAAGTAGGCACCGTGCCCATGGTGGGGCTTGAACTCACAAACCAGAGATCAAGAATTGGATGCTCCACTGACTGAGCCAGCCAGGTGCCCCTGCTTTCCTTTTTTAAATGCTAAGAGTCAAAATACAGAAAGAGCAAAACGAACAAAAGGCCATGGCAAAGGCAAATCTGTATCACCTGGGGACATTTCGAATTTTTATTTATTTATATTAAATATTCAAAAGAAATTAAGACTCTAACCTAGACTCTAGGATCTTATCTGTTTTTAACAATTAGGTAAGGGTCAAATCACACTTTTCTTCAATTATTTTTTTTAATTAAGTCAATCAGAGAAATTTAGGTAAAGATAAAACTACGTTTTCAGGCAGAAATGGTATATATACTGTTTTACTGGTAAACAGATGTCCTCTTTAATTTTCTAAAAACTTTAAGAATAGCCATTGGTGTTTTTTCTATTTTAATGACATTTCCAAATACAATATTTTTTTTTGTATTTTCCAAATACAATATGTACTTTTGTATTTTCCAAATACAATATATACTTTGTTAATACTGTATTTTCTAAAGACTCTCTAGAATTAAGCTAACAAAACTGAATTCAAGAACACTTTTCTTAGAAGGGAAGTATTAGGAAGTCTTCTCATTTTTATTCTAATTTGGGATCTCTAGTATAACTGAGTAATATTTAAAGTCTTTTACAATTAGCTTTTCTATAAAGAACTTTACAGTGGGGCGCCTGGGTGGCTCAGTGGGTTAAAGCTAAAGCCTCTGCCTTCAGCTCAGGTCATGATCCCAGGGTCCTGGGATCAAGTCCTGCATCGGGCTCTCTGCTTAGCAGGGAGACTACTTCCCCCACCTGCCTTGCCTGCCTCTCTGCCTGCTTGTGATCTCTGTCTGTCAAATAAATAAAAATTTAAAAAAAAAAAAAGAACTTTACACTGTTAAAGGAGACACTTACTGGTTGTTCTGGTAAGTCTTGCTCTTCTTCCATGAGGACCAGTATTCCTTCCTAACGTTTATGTGGCTGGATTGCAAGTGTCTGTCAGCAGTCTTCACTGTCTGTTTAAAAAAGGGGGGGTTCAAAGCTTTATGAACTCGTAAGGCATTATCATTGAGGCCATCAGAGAATAATTTTTTTTAACTTTTTGTTACTCCAAGCTTTCTACGTGAGTCCCAATCTCAAAATCTCAAACCTGCACGTGGCTTTTCAAAATTGACATGCTGCACCAAGTCGAGATAGGTGCACACAATGACCTTTATACTGCCTAGCAAAAGCCAACACGTGGAACCCCTTCTGCTGTACTTAAAACCCGGTTACTATAGTGCCTAATGCACCAAACATCTTATAATGACAACCATGTGCAGATAACTAAAACATGATTTTAGGATTATTGTTACATTAAAAAATGATAAAAACTAGCTTCGGAAGTCAGTAAGTTATGATAACATCTAACCTGCTTGAATGTGGAACATTTACATAACTGTTAACACAGACACACTGAATCACTTTAAATGGGACAAACTGGAATATCAATTAAATACTTTTACAACCAACTATCTGTATATATGCAATTAATTTTAAAGAAAATTCTTCTGGATTTATTTTAGTAATTCAAATAAATAAGTAAAGCAAAACCTTGAATTTTAGAACGAAGGCAAAATTATGTAAAACTAAGACCCAATTTTATTCTGAAATAATAAGCTCCACTAAATGTATTACCTAGTCAATATTTTTTTTCATTTGAAAGAGAGAAAAAGAGTGTGTGCACACAGTGGGGAGGAGCAGAGGGAGAAGGAGCAGCAGACTTCCTGCTGAGACTGATACAGGGCTTGATTCCAGGACCCTGAGATCAGGACCAGAGTCAAACTCTGAGCCACCAAACGACTGAGCCACCCAGGAGTCCCACTATCTAGTGAATTTTTAAGCAAACTCTACCTTCTCAGACCCTGCTCTTCCTGTCCTGATTTTTCAAACTAAAAAAGAAAAATAGAGGACTCAAATCGCCATATTTACTGGTATGAACTTCCTACTGTGGCCTGCTGGCAAGAAATACGTAGATATCATTAAACTAAACACATTATAAAAACAAAAACTCCGTAACTATTCAACACAAATGAAAATGACACTTCTCGAAAACTGATGTGACCATTTATGCTTTTAATGAAGGTCACACCTGTTGTACTTCTACTAACCACTGTAACTAAACATATAAAAGCGAAATCGAGTATAGAACCTTATCGCTGAAGTAACGAACAGAGATTTAAAAAAAACCTTGCTCTCTGTCAAATAAATAAATAAATATTTTTTTTAAAAAAAGGGCAACTGGGTGGCTCAGTGGGTTAAGCCTCTGCCTTCAGCTCAGGTCATGATCCCAGGGTCCTAGGATCAAGCCCCCTATCGGGCTCTCTGCTCAGCAGGAAGCCTGCTTCCCCCTCTCTCTGCCTGCCTCTGCCTACTTGTGATCTCTCTGTCAAATAAATAAATAAAAATTTAAAAATTAAAAAAAAAATGAAAAGGGAAATGAAAACCTTCAGTTGTGCCATATCACCCCTCCCCTCTTTTGCTCTATAGCGATGCAATACAACACACTTTATTTTACAGCCACACTCCAGAATGAGAAAAAGAGGGAACACACACGTGATATGAGGCAGAACAGCCCAGCTCTACCGTGGCTTTATTCCCTTCCCTGACCTAGATGTCAAAAGAAAAAAGGTTTAAAGGTCAGAAGCGCTTGGTGATCAATACTCACGTGTAGCTCATACAGAGCCCCAAAAGCCAAGTTCTCCAACTACATGACGCAGGTAACTGGTGCTGCAGAATTACAGGGCGCAGTAACTAAAGCCCACAGGAGCTATCTTGCCTGAATTTGTTTTGCTCTCCTCAGAAGAGCATAATCAATGTGACGTGAAACGGATTCACAACTGTGAAAGATGAAACATTTTTATGTTTTATCAGCTTCTACCTATCTTAGATTTAAATCGAAATGTCTTTATTTTATGGGCTTTTAATACTGTCTAAATGTACTAATGTACATATATAATTTCATCCCCAAAGGAGCAAAATAGGGCCAAATCATGAGGGAAGTGTGATACCTTTAATAACTCATTTGTTGGATTTTTGTGTGATCATCTCTCACCTAAACAAAAAGTTATAGTATTCCATGTTTTACTTAATTGAAAGCCATACGTTATCATTGCAATCTCTAATTAGTAGATTCTCAGCACGGGAGAGGGAAGGGATATTCCTTCTCATGGGGGAAGGTTTATAAAATCTACCTCTGGGCAAGAAGAAGGTAAGAAATTTTGTTTTAAAAAAGGATACTCAATAACATGTGCTTTAATTTTAAACACAAGAACTAACTGATTTAAAAATATAAACATTAAAGGGGCACCTTTTTTATTGATCAAAAGGGATCATGGGTTTTACAAGGTAAAAATACTCCTCTTAATTATGGGGAAATAAATTCTCAAGTCATACAAAACTAAATGTTAAAATCTTGAATTTTGTCTTCTAAAAATATGGCAAAATAACAGTGATTTTATAATGAAAAGAAGGAATTTTCCATTTTTCTTAAGACAAATTCTATGGTAAGTTGCAAGAAAACTTTAAGGGAAAAATTGGGAGACATTCTTTCCTCTTCTCCTATTTCTTGTTTGAAAATAAGCACTACTGTTTCCATCTTAAAAATTACCTTTATTTTCTCAGCTTTTCAATTTAGGGGAATAAAAGGGCATAATTTCTATAGTTAGGAAAAAAATTTTAAAAATCAAGTAACTGATCAATGATCACCAACAATTTTGATCATTTAAAACAAACGAAAGCAGGGGTGCCTGGGTGGCTCAGTTGGTTAAGCATCTGCCTTTGGCTTGGGTCATGATCCCAGAGTCCTGGGATCAAGTCCCACATTGGGCTCCCTGAGCCTGCTTCTCCCTCTCCCTGTCTACTGGCTCTGCCTACTTGTGCTCTTTCTGTCAGATAAATAAATAAATAAATAAATAAAATCTTTAAAAAAAAAAAAAAATCAAACAAAAGCAATCTTACAAGGAAAGCACATGATTTATTACAGCATCTTCTGGGATTCCATCGGCAACATGTAAAATGCCTAAAATTGCAAACTTACAAATTTACAAATAATATAAAAGAAATTTATTTGCAAATAATTTAAATTTACAAATTTAAATTTTTCTAATAATTTATAATTTGACTAATCTGAAATATAGGGACTTACTAAATACAAGAATTCAAGTATTTGTCACATTCCTAGAACTTTTCAATGTGCTAAAACTTTAATATTAAGATCTCATACCATTTTCTATAAGTGCACATGCTTATAATCAAGTCACATTTACTAGCAACCAGATGAAAGTATTGTATAACACAAACAGTGCTCCAGTATTTGATAATTTAAAAAGTACAGAATTAGTATACAAATCTTAGTATTCTCTTTTTCATGTACTAGTTCTAGAGTTTAATAATCTAAGTGGGTTTTTGTAAACCATTAATGTAACCCGACATTATTCTACAAATGAAACTCATCTTCTAAAATACCCAAAAATACAATGACATAGAAGTAAAAAGTGGATTCTTAGGTGCAACTTAAGTGCACTTAATGAATACAGCTCATTATATAAAGTAAATTCTTTAAGTGCAACTTAAATGAATACAGTTACTTATAACTTAGTCAAACAGCCAGTGAAATTACAAAACATGTAATTAACATGTGAGTTAATCTTTTAAGTGCTTTTAAGCATTTGGATAGTAATGTCTTCTCACAATTTTCTAGTTTCAATTCTTACTGTTGATTTCTAAATACACCTTTTTTATTATGACAGTTTGTCAGTATCTATATGCCTTTATGGACAGAAATCTAGGAAAATCTACAACCAAGAACAGAAATGGTATTATTTCTGTAGACTTTCCCTATCTGCAAATGCTGACAAGGAAAAAATAAGGAATTCTGTTTGGATTCAAAAAGGTCACAAATTTAAATACTGTGATTTCACATGTTCATAAATAAAGCAGGAAACTTTTATAATATGGCAGCTATAATTTTTCTTTTTAATCATTAAATGTTAGAAGGGAAATAATTAGTAAATATTTTACTTCAAAATTCTAATTAGATTCCTACCTGATAATTTCTGTTTTGTACCAAGTTGAAATACTATTCAACCTTTAACTGTAAATGGCTACAAACAAAAACCTAGGTTACTGCAATGTTATTACGGCTCTCAAGTACAGAAAGGGGGAAAAAAAAAAATATATATATATTCTACATACACACATATAAAGAACAGAATAAAGATCAAATTGCTTTCAAAGAGAATAAAGTATACACTACTCCTAATTATAACATCAAGAGAAGTGTCTAAATAGAGCACAACATTTGGATTGTAGGTCCTTGAAGGGGAACTTTCATGTGGCTAAGTGTGCATAGATTAACTGAATATCTTTCATATAATTCTAAAGAGAAAACAGGTAGCTCAAAAATTTAATCATGGACCACACTGTATTTTAGAAGTCTACTTAATATTTCTTCCAAGGCCATATATGTGTGTGTGTGTGTGTGTGTGTGTGTGTGTGTGTGTTGTGTGTATTTTTTTTTTTTTTAGAACACACTAAATAAAAGGCTAAAGAAATTTCCCTGGGGAAAATGAACAGCATCCTTCCCAAAATTAAATATATCTCAGCAATAATAGTTATAAATAAAAGTAATCTAAAAAGAAGTATCAAAAAAGTGGTATATTATCACTTAAGATTATTAACGTCGATTGGGGCGCCTGGGTGGCTCAGTGGGCTAAAGCCTCTGACTTCAGCTCCGGTCATGGTCCCAGGGTCCTGGGATCAAGCCCCACATCGGGCTCTCCACTCAGCGGGGAGCTTGCTTCCCCCTCTCTCTCCCTGCCTCTCTGTCAAATAAATAAATAAAATCTTTTTAAAAAAAGATTATTAACGTGGATTACTTTAGGATTTAAAAGTATGTAATTAGTAAATGTCCACCATGGTATCCTCAAATACGATTATGTGTGTGCCTTGAAGAATGAAAATAATAAGCAAAATA